ATACCCGACCTTCCCTTAACCTCCATGACAGTACCATCTGTCCAGGGGATGGGGCAAGAGTCTAGTTCTTGGCCAGAGTCCACTGTTTGCCTAGAAACTGCCAACCCTCTCACATGCCTCCTTATTTTCTCTGCTTTTTCTGTCTCTACCCCCTAAACCACCACTCTTCTATACTACTGTCCCAGGAAAATCACTATTGAACTATTCTAAAAAGTATCTTAGTCCTACTGGAATAAAGCTGTAAGAATATCCTACAAAAGGAACATTCTGTAAATGTCTGAAGGAATTAACCAAGGCAAAGAAAGAGGTGTACCACTCTGGCCAGAAACATCAAGAAAATCCCAGTAATTCAACTATAACCATTTCCCATGTACAAATGAACAAACTTAAAAAAAAAAAAAAAAAGCTAGCCACAGGAACAAATACTTATTAATCATGTTGGTAGGAAATAAGTGACTATATAATGTAGTTTATAGAAACCAGACACCTCACATGAGGTGTCCTTTTTCTAATGGACAGGGGAGAAGGTATTAAATATTTGAATACTAAATAACTTGTTCCTTTGCCTTGACAAAAGACAGGCGGTTTTTCATCTCTTCTTAACTCAGTACTGACATTTAAAAGGTCCTTTCAACAATTTCTAGCAAAATTAAGTAAATCAAGTGTTGCATTGTTTTGTTTTTGAATATGCAGAACCTCAGCCTACTATTAGTGGCACCATCTCCAAGTCACTAATCAGGCTCCTGAACTCCTGAATACCTGTTGTACTAGCACCGGACTAGGCAGCAATTTTTTTTCCATTTCCACTGCTTTTTGGTTTTGGGTTTTTTGAGACAGGGTCTCACCACATAGGCTAGGCTGGCCTCAAAACTTGTGGCAATCCTCCTGCATCATTCTCCCAAGAACTGTGCTGTTTTTTTAAAACAGGGTCCTGCTATGCTGCATCCTCTGGCCTCAGCCTTCTAAGTCACTATGATTTACAGGTGCTGATCACCTGCCTTGCTGAAATAGTTTTTCTTTTTCTGAGACTGAGTCTCACTATGTTATCCAGGTTCAAACGATCCTCTCACTTTAACCTCCTGAGTGAGTTGACAGGTAAGTACCATACTGGCTGCAATATTCATAAGGTAGCATTTCCTATCCTTCAGTTCAACTTTAAAAGTTAGTCAATATCTAGCATTTCACCATCTTTTAATCCTACCTGTTCTGCCTTTTGTTTCTAAATATAAGCTGCTCCTAAATGCAAACAGTGAATCATGATTGGTAAAGTATTTGGCTACAAGCAACTCCCTTTCTTGCCGAGAATATACTATAGAAGCCAAAAAGTAGGCACTGGCATGGGCTAACACAGCCAGGCTATCTAGCAAACATATTGAACAAAAACTAATGCCACTTGAGGGCCATACTATGTATTCTGTGAAACCTAAAAAGTTTTCAAATAAGTGTTTTATTTAGTGATTCTCAAGTACTTTAAAAGTCAGAATTGAACAATTAAGTGAATATTCACGCTATGTAACTAAAACGTTGACCCTGATAATGAATCACTTTGGTTAAACTACAACAGAATTCTGTATTTTGTTGAGCAGTCACATGGTTCCACTCATCAACATACTCAATATCATGAGCACAATAAAATGCCTGAAGCACTTAAGTATTTGTGTTTTTTTGTTTGGGTCATCACAAGGTTTCACCTATTAACTAAGGAAGAAACTTAAGGCATTTATTGCAGCTGACATGAATGCAAATCACTGGTTTAAAGAAACGCCCTAAACCAGGTGTGGTGATACATGCCTGTAATCCTAGCATTCCCGAGGCTGAGGCAGGAGGACCACAGTGAATTCAAGGTCAGCCTGCACTACACACACAGTGAGACCCCGACTCAAAAAAAAAAAAGGCCCCAGAGTCTGGTACAGTAGTTCACACCTGTAACCCCAGCATTTGGGAGTCTGAGGCAGAAGGGTTGTCCCAAGTTTGAGCTTGGACTAGTGAATTCAAGATCAACCTGGACTACACAGCAACACTCTGGCTTGAAAAAAAAATTTTAAAGAAAAAAGGGCACTAGAAAAACTAGTAAAGAATTGAGTTGGAAAAACAAATCCTTAAAACTGTACCAGAGGAAAAAGTGCAAAGTTATATTAAAAAATACTCAGACCACTCTAATACAATGCACAACGTAAGTGGCTACCTATACAGGGAACTATGGTAAAATCACACATTTGCAAAACCTCAAATTAGTCTACACAATACAGTACTTCCGGACCTGGCCAAAAAGTTCCCATTAATCTGTTTAAGTATTTATTCACTTACTTATTTAGCAGCACTGGGAGGTAAACTCAGGACCTCTACACTGAGTTACAACCCCAGTTTTTCTTTCAAGACCAGGCTAGACTGGAACTTGAGAACCTCTTGCTTCAGCCTCCCACAGTGCTAGGATTATAGACTAGGAATGTATCTCTACAATGGGCTTCTGCTTTAGCTTTATCATGGAGACAACTGGTCTCCACCTGAGTTCCAGAAGCACTCTCCATAACTCCGCAGGCACACCAGATAAGCAAGATTCTCTGTCATACCCAGCAGATAAAGTCAGTCAACTTGGCAGTTTTTCTTTGTTTTGCAATACTGGGAACTGAACCAAAGAGCACTCTACTAGTGAGGTATGATTTTTGAGACAGACTCTCAATAAATTACCCAGCCTGACCTCAAACTTGTGATCCTCCTACCTCAGTCTTCCAAGTATCTAGCTGAGACTATCCTTATAATCATAAATTTTAAACTGAATCTCCTACATTTATAATTACAAATATTTCCCCCTTTGTCACAAATCCCCACTTTCATTGAAACACCTATTACTGCTAATATAATGAAAATACTCATCAACAAATATAAAGTCAAGAACACAAAAATAAAATGCCTGAAATACTTCAGTGTTTGGGAGGTTGTTTTGTTTGGGTTGTCACGAGCTTTCACCTACTGTTCACTAAGGAAGAAACACATGGCATTTATTATAGTAAACATGAATGCATATCACTAGTCCCCCCTCCCCCCAAAAAAAGAAAGAAAAAGGAAGACCCTAAGCCAGGTGTGGTGCTGCACACCTGTAATCCCAGTGTTGCAGGCAGCCGAGTTAGTTAGAAATATTATAGGCAGTGAGACAGGGCTAGGTCCTCAAAGGAGCCAATGCAGATACCTTACAACTATGGGGAGACAGACACCTCTCGCTGTGGGCCAGGCTTCAAGACATAGGATCAAACAAATGCATCCACATTCTAAAGACTGATATTCTAATTAGTTTCCTATCATCCTAAGGAAGTCTGGAGTCACAATCCCATCCCCCAAGGGGAAAGGTCACAGCTCTAACACTTGCTTCCCCTTTGTCCCTATTTAATCAATTTTACCTGAACTACTCATCTCATTGGCTAACTATAGTTATGTCCCATTTTTATGCCCATGTGCTTTGAGTTCCCCTTCTTCCCCCACCTTGGACCCGTCTCACCTCATGGTTTTTGCTCTATAAAAGTCCTTAAAAAGACAGAGTCCTGGGGCCTGGGGATTTAGCTCAGCGGCATAAGCACCTGCCTTGCAAGCAGGCGGTCGTGAGTTCGATCCCCGGTACCGATAAAAATGAAAAAGACAAAAAAAAAAATTAAAAAAAAAAAAAAAAAAAAAAGACAGAGTCCTTGGCAACCCACTCGGGACCCCTTCTGTCTCTCTTCAGACAGAAGCTTTCTTTCTCTCAATGAATATATTCTACTCTTAACCTCTGTTGTTCCTAAAATTCATTTTTCGATTTTAGAGAACACAAACTCACGGACATAGGTGGGCGTTTCATTCCCCTATACCACCAGCACTCAGGAGGTTGAGGCAAATCAGTATACACACTTTAAAATAAGCTGAATGCTGGACTCCAACTATGCCGACTCCCAATACCTGACCATCTCAGCTTATTTCTTGAGGAAAAATCCCGCCTTGCTAGACAGGTTAATAATTCAAATAGTGATTACAAAGGTAATGGTAGCCCCTCAACAAGTAAGTTATTATCGTTATGTTCATAACTTAATATTAAAAATTAAGTTATGACTACATGACTACAGATGTGACAAACTTCCCTGTTACAGAACAACACTACAGCCTAACAACAACAACAAAAAAAAGTTATAATGCTTGTGATGCATGTTTGTCAGGTACACCTTTAAGTTCTTTGTTTACTCACCTAATGCTCTACTAGTTCCACCTTTACAAGTAAGGAAACTCATTTAAGGCCTAGGCCTAAAAATACTTAATCAAAAATCTTCATTTTTTTGTGCGATTTTTTTTTAGGTTTTTTTTTTGGGGGGGGGGCAGTCCAGCTTGGCCTTTAAACTGGGATCCTCCTACCTTAGCTTCCAGACTGCTGAGATCACAAGCATATGCCACCAAGCCTGGCTCAAAAATCTGACTTTTATAATCAAGTTTTGTTTCTGTTTGCATGTGTTTGCTGGGCTAGGGATGAAACCTAGAGCCTTAGGCAAGCTAAGCAAGTGCTGTTACCTCTGAGCTATATTCCTACCCATCTACTTTTTGAACAATGCTATTCAAACACAATCCTCTTTCAACTGAAGAATCGATCAGGGTCAGGTTATTAAATATGAGGCTTGAATTTCAAAAGCCATTGGGTCTCACCTTCTCTTGTTTAAACGAGCACTATCCAATGCTAATTCAAAAGCAAAGGACAGAACAAACTTAGTGGTTTTAGAGTGTGGACTGATGAGTCAGACAAACAAGGTATTAATTGAGGAACTACCTATGTGCTCTTACCCTTTTGGAGTATTAGTTTCCAAATCGCAAAATAGGGATAAGAGCCAACTTCGCCAGCTGTTTTGAGTATCAATGCAAGGATCCTAGTAAATCACGTTACACCTAACAGAAACGAAGTGACAGGAACTATAACTGAAAGCGTAGTTTGTCCTTGGGTGACCCAAAAGGAGAGAGCAGTCGTCCCACTACCATGAACCCTCTCTTACCGCTCTTGGGTTTAGACTCGCCGGCGGGCCCCGCCGAGGCGGAGCGGGGCGGCTGTTGCCCCTTGCTGCTGCCCGAAGAGGCGGAAGAGTTGTTGGAGCCGCTGTTTTTGTCCATGTCGGAGGCGGTGGCGGCAGCGTTGGGGGAGCTCTGCGGCATCAACGGGGGCCTCGGCGGCGACGGCGGTCGGAGCGGAGCGGGCGCGGCGGGGACCCAGGCTCATGGCGTTCAGGGCCGGCGGGGGTCGGCGGCGGCAGCGGTTCTCGGCCTTCATGGCGACATTTTCCCTTGATTCCTTCCTTGGCTTCTCAAACTGAGACGAGAAGCGGCAGGCGGGGCTTTTAAGCCCAGCAAAGGCGATGACCCAGAAGGAAGAGGAGGCCGGGGCTCGAAGGTCCGGGCCGGGCCTGGCGGGGCGAAGGCTATAGGGAAAGGGAAATAGAAGAAAGGTGCGCGAGCCCCGCCGGCCGGCCGGACACGCTCTCCCGCCGCGGGGCAGGAGAGAGGGCTGGTTGTCTTGGTGTCGGGGACTGGTGTCTCCGACACAGCGATGGACACTCGCCTCTAGGCCGAGGCCGAGGTGCTCCCGGAATGGCGACGAGTCGCCAAACAGCATCTCGAAGAACCCGGATGGAGTATATATAGTGGAGATGTAAGCGTGAAGTACTATGGGAAATGTAGTGTTATCTTAACATCCGGGTCCAACGATTCTCTCCCCGCCCCCATCGTCTTACCGAGGAGGCTTATGGGATCGCGGGACCTGTAGTTTCAGTGAAGTCCAAATTTTTGTTCTTTGTACGTTAATAATGTAGGTAATAATAACAGTGCTGCAGCTGAATGTAGGTAATAATAACAGTGCTGCCGCTGAATGTGGAATTCCTTTAGGGCTTATGTTTATATGTGGTTCTTATTGTAGCATGTTAAGCAAGTGCTGTGCAACAGAGCTACACCCGCTGTGTGTCAGTGGACCTTTAACAATCATTTAGGATGAATGAATGAATAAGTCTCTAATCGTGCCCTTCCTGGCTCCTTATTATTCATCACATAATGCATGAGACATTAATCTGTATATATCAATAAATCACTTTCTTAGAATTAACAGTTCAAACAGCTGAATATGGAATACCTTATAAGAATTAACAGTTCAAACAGCTGAATATGGAATACCTTATAAGGAATAAGAAGATAGATGCAAATATTGTATTTTAAATTTGCAAATATTGTATTTTAAATTTTTTAAAATTTCTTTTAAACAGCCTCCCACCAGTTCTTGTTTCATTTTACAGTTACACCCACATACCACACATACGCACGCACATCAGACTTATATACACACACAAATCAGACTTAAGAGAACTTAGTCTGAAAGCCTAATTTGATATCCAGAAGTAAGAGTCCCAAATCTTGATGTCTATGTTTACAAATAACTAGATTTAAAGGACACACTAAAATTCCTTAATGAAACTTTCTTCCTTTCTTTAATTTTTTCTGAGACAGGGTCTCACAATGTGGTTCAGCTTGGCCTTGAACTCACCAGCACAGGCTGGCCTCGAACTCAGCAATCCTCTTGCCTCAGCCTCCCAAGTGTTGGGATTGCAGGCATGAACCACCACACCCATCTTGAACCCTTATACCTTTAACAAAGACATGAAAATTCTAAGTATATGGATGAATCATTTTTTCTTATATTATCCATAAAAACAAAAGACAGAAAGAGAAATCCCAGTGTAGTAGGTGTCCATCTGTCAGGATATATATATATATATATATATAGTGGGGAGTGTCAGGATGTATTAAACTAGGAAAAAGCTTTTCATTTGAAAATAGTTTCTTAGTATTCTTAGACCTTTTTCCTTGTGAAATATTTATAGAAAATATATGGAGGTTTTTGTTTTGTTTTTTGTCTATTTGAGACAGGGTCTCACTATGCAGTTCAGGCTGGCCTTGAGCTCACTTTGTAGCCCAGGCAGGTCTCAAACTCGAAAGGATCCTCCCACCTCAGCCTGCCAAGAGCTGGGATTACAGGTGTGAGACACCATGCGGGCTGAAAATATACGTTTTAAAAAGGAACAAAAGCAGAAACATATAGCAATTCAATCAAACTGAACAACCTCTATCCTGTTTTGCACAAGATGATGGTCTACATTATCCTTTCTTTGATTTGTTTTTGTCTTTTTGAGACAGGGTTTCGCTATGCAGTTCAGGTTGAACTTGAACTCACTTTGTACACAGGCTGGCCTCAAACTCAGTGATCTTCCTGCTTCAGTATCCTTTCCCTTAAAAAAAGATGTGAAAATTTGAGATTGAAGTAAAACAATCATAGTGAGCCAGATGGATTTATAAATGTAGCTTTGTGTCATCAGAGGTCAAAGTGTGAGTGGTGTTTGGTTGAAGCTTACTAAATGGATACATCTTTCATTCCCATTTATGAACTCCCTAGGTTCATAAAATGAAGACCAAAGATTCATCTTTCCTATGTTTATTTTTCAGAGCAGCCTGCCATACATTTCTCAGAAATGGTCTGCAAATCCTTTGCAATACCATCACAAAAATTTGTTCAAATAAATATTCAAAAAACCACACACACACAAAAAAAAAAAAAAAACTAAAAAGATTTCATACCCTGTACGTTCAAGGCTTTGGCTCTATCCTCAATACCATAAGGAGATTTCAAAAAAGAAAGAAAGAAGGGCTGGAGATTTAGCTCAGCAGTACCTGCCTGACAAGTGCAAGGTCATGAATTTGATCCTTGGTACAGAAAGAAAGAAAGCAAACAGGGAAATGAAAAAAATAAGATTTCAGGGACATGGGATATGTACTACATATATACCATATGCACATGTACCAGATGTACTGATTCAAAATCTCTGGTACTATTATAGACAGCTGAGTAAGGTAGAAATATTATAAGCAATCAGACATGGTTAGGTCCTTGAAGGAGTCAGTGCAAAAGATAAGAATATATTACAACTGTGGCTGGAGGCACATCCATTGAAGGCCAGGGCTCAAGATAAAAACAGAATGACCATGCTTTTCTGAGGCATAAGCAATATATTATAATTGGTATCATCTGGTCCAATAAAGTCTACATAGACATCAATAATCCAGGTGATGCTCCTACTTCTTTCCACGTACACTTGCTTCCTCATTGGATAAACATTAGCTAATCGACTTTACTTAACATCTTACTGGTTGATCATAGTTTTGTCCCATGTTGTACCCACTTTATGATTTTGCTCTATAAAAATCCCTCTAGAAAGTGAAGTCCATGGCAAACCACGTGGGCCCCTTTCTGTCTCTCAAGAGCTGTCTCTTCCTCAATAAAATTTACCACTGTTAACCTCTGTTGTTCCTTAAAACTCGTTCTTCAGTTTTGGGGAACACAAACTCGGCATATCAGACATTTAACAGGTTGAAAGTTTTAGTATTTCCCTCCTTTCATTTAGAGGTTCTATATCAATACCAGATATATTCATTAAAAATCTCTAGTAGTCAGGAACCAGGAATCTTCATTTTACTCCTCACTGCATCCTGGAACTGAGCATTCAACTTATGGCCTCATGTTTGCTAGGTAGGAATCTGCATTTTAAAGATCAAACATTTGAGTGGCCTGCCACATGATATTATGCTCAGTACTGGAGCAGCTGAGAAGGAAGGATGGTGAGCTCCAGTCAGCCTGAGATAAACAGCAAATTCCCAGTTAACCAGGCTACACACCAAGACCGTGTCTAAAAAATAAAATTAAAAAACAGGTGTGTTTTACACTCACCAAAATTTGGAATAGACCTTGTGACACTGGCCTTTTAACTACACCATCCCTGAGGATTTTTCCCTTTCCGCAACCGAAAACGAGAATTACTTGCCAGTTGATACTTGCACTATTGGCTGGCAGGATTGAGACATGTCTGCTGAGAGGTGATTGGGAACTCGCCTTGCGCTCTCTTCATTCTTGGTGAATTCTGAATTTGATTTTGGAAGAGAGATAGGAAGAGTTTTTGGGTTCAAGGACTAGGTTCCAGATACCAAAGAACTCCGTAATATAAGCGTTTAGGGCGCGTTCGACTAATATTGTCTCCAGCCGACCGCCGTCGTCAGTCTAATGACGCAACAGGATGTTTTCCGGATCCCTAATACCTGACTGTCAAGATGGCGGCCCCCAGGAGCTATGTTCTATGGAGCTACTGCGGCCGTGGGTGGTCGCGGTTGGTGCGAACCTGCGGGCCCCGAGGGCTTCATAGCTCCTTGCCTGCGGGCTCATTGGGTGTGCGGTTCTTGTCTCAAGAGAAGCATGCAACGCAAACGCACTTCGGATTTGAGACTGTGTCGGAGGAGGAAAAGGGGGGCAAAGGTGAAAGGGGCTAGAGGGCGGATAAAGGGATCTGTCAATCTGTGAACTAATTTTTTCTGCTCTACTAAGGGCAAATTTAATGTCCTGTTAGCTTCAGTGCTGTTATCTGTAGTTCTAACTTCCAAGGAATCCTCCCTCCCCCGTGTCTGGCAAAGTTTTGCGACCTGTCTTATCCTCGCAACCGCGAACTGAACCCACGGCCTTCCCACTGAGCTATATAATTCCCCACCTTTTTAAATTTTTACTTCCTGACAGGGTCTCTCTTAAGCCACGAAGTTGCCCTGGCAGTGCAGGAACTTGAGATCCTCTGGCTTCAGGAGTGGACCACCACGCCTGGCTACGCCCCCTTTTTAAACAGAGTGCTTGTCATTCAGTCCCATCATATGACTGTTTATGATGTGTCATGCACCATGTGGACATTTTTTCCAGTTCTCATTTCAACTTTCCGATGATGGGTATTGTTATCCCGATGTTAATACTTGAAGAAACTGAGCTTAAAGGTTAAGCACCAACTTGCCAAATTTAACATAGGAAGTTGCCAAACCAGTATTCCAACCCAATTTGATCTGACTTCAAAATACACGTTTATAGCCTCTTGCTGAAAAGGGGGGCCACTTTACAAACAAGGAGGGAAACTCTTGGTGCCTTAGTTTCCCAATTTGCCAAATAGGAATAGTTCTTGTATTATTTAGAGTTGTTGTATTACTTCCATGTATTATAGCACCTTCAACAGTGCCTGTTGCTTAGTAACACACAATTAAAATTAGAAATTATTGAACAGTTTCTTTGTGTGAGCCCTGCCACAGGCATAGAAAAGGAAAGTGTTTGTAAACTTTACCATTTATAATGAGCAAAGTATACCCATTTTACACAAATGCAGAGGTTCCTTCACTAGTTTTCACAATAACCAGGAAATAATAACAGTGTAATTTCCCATCCTCTTAAAGACTACATTGTGTAATCAGTGCGAAAATTGCAACTGGTCCATAACCTTTAAAAATTATTGAGCCTGAAGTTGGATGTGGTGGTACACACTTGTAATGCTAGCATGTGGGAGACTGAATCAGGAGATAATTACAGATCCAAGGCCAATTTGGGCTCCATAGCCAGATATAGTCTCAAAAATATAAAAAAAAAAATTATTGAGCCTGCTGGCTGGATGTACTTCAGTGGTAGAACACTTACCTACTACCTGTGAGGCCCTGGTTGTATTTCCAGTACTAAAATAAGTAAATAAATACATGTGTTTTTAAAAATATGTGGTAAATTGGGCACAGTAGCACATGTCTGTAATCTCAGCACTTGGGAGAATAAGGCAGGAGGATTGCCAAAAATTTGAGGCCACCCTGGGATACATAACGAGTTCAAGGCCAGACTAAACTGCATACCCAGACCTTGTCTCAAAAAAACAAAAAAAGACAAATGTATATATATATATATATATATATATATGCTAATATTTAGCACACTATAACTTAAAATTAATTTAATATAATTTAAAAGTTTAATGAAAATGTGAAATACTGAAAAGAAAATTGGTTTATTCCTTTTTTTGAGACAGGGTCTTACTATATAATCTACGATAACCTCAAACTCATAGCGATCCTCCTCCCTCAGCCTCTCAGATTGATTTCTTTCTAAAAAATTTATTTTCTTTTTTTGTTTGATTTTTTTTTTTAAAACTGAGAATGGGACTCCCAAGCAGGTGCATATGCTACTGAGCTATATTCCTGGCCCTTTTTTCTAAAAAATTTATCAAGTGTAGTTTGAATAATATTTGCTATCTTTATCTAATAGAATTTACAATAAGAAAAAAGATATACAATAAGGAATAAAATTTTCTGAGTCTTCTCAAATTGCCATAATTGCTTTCTAAAAGTTTGTAAACCTTTAATATTTTATCTTTTGCTCTCTCAATATGAAATTACCAGGCTTAGTGACACGTGCCTATAATCCCAGTACTTTGGGAGGATGAGCACTAGGATCAAACATTTGAGCCTAGCTTGGGCGACTTAGTGAGGCCTTACCTCAAACTAAAAAATAAAAAGGTCTGGAGATGTAGCTCAGTGTGAATCCCCTCGATTCACTCCCTAATACTGAAATTAATTAATTAACTTTTTTGTTATATGCATATTCCAATTTTTTTATTTTAAAAAGCAAAGCAGAAGAAAAGGAAAGAAATGATACAGAATTTCAAAAACAATAGTAGGAAATGAACATTAGTTAATATATTGCATATTGTTATCTTAGACCTAGTTCAAGTTACAAGATCTAGGCACAAAGAATGATTAATCGAACAGTGACAGCATAAACTGTTCTTTTCGGTGAACTACAGAGGTTGGTAGTATAAGCTGTCTATCTTGCATACATATATACACACACAGTTATATATGTATAGCTACATACATATAATCTTCCTTTCTTTTCTCCTTTCCCATCCCAATTGTTCTTTCCTTTTGAGCACTTTCTTTCACTTTCATTATTACAGTATGTATTGTACATTTTGAATCTTGCCACTCTTTCAGTTTTTTATTTTTTATTTTATACTAGGGAGACAGTATGGTATTTATAAATATGAGTTTTATTTATTTCACTTATGAGTATGGTCTGAAGTTGCCTCCATTCACCTATAAAAGCCTCAAGATTATCCTTTTTTATAGCTGAGTAACATTCTGTGTAAAAAAAATACCATATCTTTTTTATCCATTCTGTGGTTGATGGACATTTGGGTTGTTTCCAAGATTTAGCTGTTACAAATTGTGCTGCTGTAAACATGGGTTGTGGCATGACATTTTCAACTTTTCTGGGAAAATGCCCAAAAGAGGAATAGCTGGATTGAATGAGACTTCCATTCCTAGTTTTCTGAGAACCCTCCACACTGATTTCTACAGTGGTTACACAAGTCTACACTCCCAGAAACAGTGGAGAAGTATTCCTTTTTCCCCACTGCCCTGCCAACATTTGTTACCAGTTTTCTGATGAGGCAGGTGCTTATGCCACTGAACTAAATCCTCAGCCCTATTGGTTGATTTCTTTTTTTTTTTTTTTAATCAGTACTGGGAATCGAACTGACAACCACATGCTTGCAAGGCAGGCCCTTATGCTGCTGAGCTAAATCTCCAGACCCTTGGTTGATTTCTCAATGCCAGCCATTCTTTCTGGAGTGAGATGGAATCTCAGTGTTGTTTTAATTTGCATTTCTCTGTTGACCAGTGATATTAAACATGTCTTCGTGTATTTATTTTCCATTTGTGTTTCTTCATCTGAGAAGTGCATGTTCATTTCAGATGTCCATTTTTAATTCTTTTTTTTTTTTTGGGGGGGGGGTCTTTTTCCTTTTTATCAGTACCGGGGATCAAACTCACGACTGCCTGCTTGCAAGGCAGGCGCTTATGCCGCTGAGCTAAATCCTCAGCCCCAAGATGCCCATTTTTGGATTGGGTTAACTAACTAATTAAAAGTACTGGAAATGTTGCTCAGTGTGAAAACCCTAGGTTCAATTCAATCTCCAGCACTGAAAAAAAAAATCACATTAAATACACTTACACCAAGATACTGAAGATTGAATCTAGGACTTCACACATGTTAGACAAGTCCGGTACTATATCCCTAGTTGTTGGTTTTTGGTTTGGGGATGTTTTGTTTTGGAGATAGGGTCTCACTGTGTAATTTAGACTGACCTCAAACTCACTGTAGACCTCCTGCCTCACACTCCTGATTGCTGGAGTTGCAGATGTGTGCCACCATGGCTGGCCCCAGTTCTTTTTATTTTCAGACAAGTTCTGGATAAATTACCGAGGCTAAGCTTGAATTTATGATCTGTCTGCCTCAGCCTCCTGAGTAGCTGAGATTACAGGCATGTACCATCATGTCCAACTTAATGTGAATCTTTTTGCTGACATTACTTCTTGGGGCATCTGGACCTTTCTGTCATATCCACGTTCCTCATTTATGCCCAGAAATTCACTCTCTCATGAAGTTCCCTGGCTGTATGTATCTCTGCTCTCCAGTAGAGGCAATGTCAGTGTTTCCAGTTCCATTTCTCCTACAGTTCCACCGACACTCAATTCCAATTTCATCTCCACCATTAACACTTTTCATTTCTTTGCTGAACATTCATTTTTATTGCCCAGTTTCCTGTCGTTTGTGCAGTTGTGCCACATGGATTTCACTGAAGGCAACAAAGCCACGTTAGATGTTTTGCTGTCTGTATGTAAAGGTAATAACATTCAATGACAAGTCACCTACATTCTGTGAGAGAAGGGATGGTACTGGTCACTGATCAAGATGCTTGTCTGTTAGTGATTCATGGCCTGAAGAACCGCTGATAAAGTTTGTACTTCATGTAGTTACAGCTATCATTCTATTGTAGTGTTTGGGGTACTGATGTTAATTTAAGCCACAGTAATTGAAATTTATGCATATTGGAATCTTCAGAGCAAGAACAGTTATACTCAGTAGCTTGAACCTTTGTGTCCCTCAGTTATCTCAAAAGATGTTCCAAAGAAAACAACCAGCTGGAGACTCAGGAGAAGAGAATAAACCATTCAAGATTCAGCTGAAAGCTAGATATGGTAATAACTGTAATACCAGCGACTTGGGAAGCTGGGACAGAAGAATCCAGTTTGAGGTCAGCCTAAGCAATTTAGCAAGACTATGTTTCAAAAAAGGGTAGATACCATGTAGCTTAGTGGTAGAGTGCTTGCCCAGTGTGCAGAAGACCCTGAGTTTAATTCTCAGTGCCACAAAATAATAATAATTAATAATAATAATTTAGTTAAAGGAGTACTCTGCAGTCTGGTTGAGCAAAGGATAATGTTTTGCATTGTGTGCAGCACATTTTGGGGAATTCACACATCTCCCCTTCATTTTCTAATTGAACCTCATGGTCAGGCATGTGACACAGGCCTGTAGTCCCCACATTTGGGAGACAGAGACAGAACAATCACTGAATTTGAGACCAGCCTGGGCTACATAGTGAGTTGAAAACCAACTAGGCACGGTGGTACACACCTATAATCCTAGCATTTGGGGAGGTGAGGCAGGAGAACTTGCCACAAATTTGAGACAAGTCTGGACTACACAGCATGACCCTGCTTCAAAAAGAAAGTCAGACAGAAAGAAAATGTAGCTTTAGACAGTTTATATGGGTTTTTTTGAGAGGGGAGAGAAGGATTGTTTTTTGTTTTTTGTTTTTTTGGTTTTTTTTTTTTTGAGACGAGGTCTCACTATCTACTTCAGGCTGTCCTTAAACTCAGTACTTTCCCTGCCTCAGCCTCTTGGGTGCTGGGATTACAAATATGAGCTACCGGGGCTGGAGATTTAGCTCAGCGGTATAAGCGCCTGCCTTGCAAGCAGGCAGTCGTGAGTTCGATCCCCGGTACCAATAAAAAGGAAAAAAGCCAAAAAAAAAAAAAAAAAAAAAAAATGAGCTACCAAACCTGGCTAAAATGTACCTTTAGAGGGAAGATTTTTCTTTCTTTTTTTTCTGGAGTGGGGTTGGTTTTTTTTTTTGGGGGGGGGACTAGGGATCAAACTCAGGACTTTGCATTTACCAGGCAAGCACTTGAACCACTGAGTTAAATCCCCAGCTGAGGAAAGAGGAAAGATGTTCTTATGAGTCATGTCTCACAGTAGCAGATTTTCCAGATATACCAAATATCCTTTTTTACCCCCCTTTTGTTGTACTAGGAATTGCACCACATTCTGTTTTGATCTCTTAGAGGAGATTCCACAGTGTAACTTGGACCTGATTCACTACTTGTCATCAACCAAATTGTTCCTGAGATTCTACATGATGCAGAGATGAGACAAGGGATCTTCCTATCCATATTAGTCATGTGTCTTTCTCATGGTTTTGATGTCTTTTATTATAATAACCATCAGAAAAATTCCAGTTCCTGGGCTGGACAGGTAGCCCAATGGTAGAACTCTTGTCTACCATGTCCAAAACTCTAGGTTCAATCTCTAGTACTAGGAAAATAAAAAGAAAACAGAAAAGAAATCCACCACCATCACCACACACACACACACACACTATATCCACTAAGAAACAGAAGTATATGTTCCCTTCCGATCCTTTTACTTTGGCCTCTGAGATCACAGGTATGCATTATCACATGGGGCCTAGGTACATAACCTTATTTCAAAATAGTTTTAGCTGGGCATTATGGCACATACCTGTAAGCCCACACTGGAGAGGCTGAGTCAGGAGGATCACAATGAGTTCAAGACCCGCGTAGACTACATAGCAAGACCCTGTCTCAAAAAAAAAAAAAAACACTATAAAAGAAGAAAAAAAGAATTTGATGTCCTCTTGCCTCAGCTGCCCAAAATGTTGGGACTACAAACATATGTACCCTGTTCTTCCTCTATCATCATCATCATTATTATTATCATTATCACTATTATTATTTATCTTTTGAGACAGGATTTCTCTGTGAAGTTCAAACTGACCTTGAACACACTGTAACCCAGACTGACATCAAACAGTAATCCTCCTGCCTTAGCCAAAGTGGTGAGATTACAGGCATACACCACTACCTGAGGCCTGTTCCTCTTTTTAATTTAGGTTTTCTCAAATTAGTCTTGCTAATAGCACAATTGTGTGTCTCTCACATGTCAGTCTATCAGGTATTTGAAAGTGTGGCCAAGAAATACGATGTGATGAACGACATGATGAGCCTGGGCATCCATCGAGTTTGGAAAGATATGCTGCTATGGAAGATGAACCCGTTGCCTGGGACTCAACTGCTTGATGTTGCTGGAGGCACAGGTAATGTCAAATTTGATGTCCTTAGGTACCCTTGAGCATCTTTAAGAGTGTTTATCTCTTGCTGTAACAAGCTACTTCATCTATCATTAGGCTGAAGATATAATTTCTGAGACAGCATGCAAAATTATCAATCAAAAGCAACTTTGAGGGGCTGGAGGTTTAGCTCAGCGGCATAAGCGCCTGCCTTGCAAGCAGGCAGTCGGGAGTTCGATCCCCGGTACCGATAAAAAGGAAAAAGAAAAAAAGCAACTTTGAGGGGTAGGGATGTGGCTCACTGTTAGAGCATTTACCCAACATACACAAGGCCCTGGGTTCAGTCTCCAGCACCATAATATAGAGAAACCAATAAAACAGCCAGATTTTTGTCCACCTCTTTTCTTTTTTCTTGTTTGTTTGTTTTTGTTTTGAGATGGGGTCTAGTTGATCTTGAACTTTCTATGTAACCCACACTGGCCTCAAATCCACAATCTTCCTGCTTCAACTGCCAAAGTGCTGGGATTACAGGCATGTACCATCATGCCTGGCTTGCCTCCCTTTTTTCTAAAATAGATAGGATTATGAAGCAAAAGGATCAATTGTTTACTTCAGTGACTTTTTTTTTCCTGGTGATGGTAGTCATGGTGATGGCACGAGCCCTAGAGATTGAACCCAGTACTTCACACTTGCTAGGCAGTCACTTTTTATCACTGAGCTACCTCCCATCTGTTTCATCTTGTATTGAACCTGTAACCCACTTTCCTTGTCTGATTAGACGAGAACCCTTTTACTACATTATATAAGCTTTTTAGGCTAACTTTTTCACCTAATCTGCTATCACATCAGGTATCAAAGGTTCAATTGTTTATGTATAGTCTTTTGTTAGTTGTTCCAAACTAGGCATTTGGAGAGAAAAATGTCACAGGTTTCTAAAATGAATGTTGAAGCAGAGGGAAAGGAGAAGAATTAAGGTATCTTATATACATGTACCATCTCCGCATGCTAAATGTAATCAGTATGCACTGCAAACATGTACTAACAAAATTTAAAATGTTTTAAAATACATGGTGAAAACAGGCATAATCCCAACAGTTGGGAGGCTGAGGCAGGAGGATTGCCACAGATTTCAAGCCTAGCCTGGGCTACACAGTGAGTTCAAGGCCTGCCTGAAATAATGGTAAGACCTTATCTCAAAAAACTAAAAAAAAAAAAAAAAAAAAAAAAAATTTAAGTCCCTTTGGCTCAATGTTCTGCCCTCCAAACCCCCAAGGTGGCATCATTAACCCATGGCTCATCTGGGTATCTATACCCTCAGGGCACTGGACTGTGATATCCTGGTCCCAAGACACCAGATAGGTACCATTCTTTGAAACTGAGGAGGGCAGCCTTGTTCCCTGGGCCTGCAGTGGGAGCAGCAACCCTGTCAATCTTCAAATAACCTTCAGGTCATTCCCTCATCTTGAAAGATGGCTTGCATTCACAGCCACACAACTATTTTCTGCTGCTTGTAAAGTCTCAGCAGTTTTTATTTATTCTGTATTCTCTGGTTCTTTCACTCACATCTAGCAGTGTCTCCACTAGAATAATCTCTTTTCTATTCCTAACTACCTCTGTAGTTGATGATTACTTACACTAACTAGCCTTTTATCAAATGGATGTTCAGCTACACTCTTAAATGTTCTCTTCAGAATAAGCTTCCTGCTTTCTGCAATACACATAGAGAATGTTTCAAGTCTTTAAGTTCTGGTTCCCTTTTGCTGAATAATTTTTTAGCTTTTATCATATTTTACTCTAAGCAGCTGCACTACCTATCTTCAAATGTAAGCAGTCTGATGTCCAAAGGCAGTAAGAGCCAGCTGCTCTGGAGATGAAATTTTATAGAATTTACTGAAACCATGTGGCTCGCATATTTGACAAGGGACTTCCCTGTCTCTGTGCTCTACAGCAAAGCTGTGTGATCAGCAGACACTGTCCCAAGTACCGCAGGCTGTGTCCTTGCAGCACTGACATCCCAGATGCCATCTCTGTGGCCATTGTACTCTTTCACAGGCTGCCAGACAACCCACACTGTGGTGGCCTTCCAGCTAGACACGATCTTGCTGGTGGAAGCCTTGTAAGTGGTCTTTAGTTCTGACAAAGCTGACTGGCACCATTACTAGCTTTTGCCCAGAGTTGGCCTTTACTCACTTCTGCCCATCAATCATTTGTTCTTCAGCAGCAGCAAAGCATTCATTAAGAGTATCTATTTCTCTACACAATTCTAAATTTTCAGTGTAAAGGTTTTCAAATTCTGTATTTAACTAAACAGTTCCAGAAGTGTGGCAAACTGAAGGAGGCAGTTTGGAGTCTTGGCCTTCTAACATTTCTCTTGGTAGGCCTGTCCTTCCCTGTTCTGAGCTGTTAGTTCTTCATCTGAAAAACTGTGTGATTTACATTTTTGTTTTGCTTTTTTAAGCAGTTGAACAACTTCTGCCTTCTGTGGGCATTACTTCTAGAAGGTAGTGTCCTGGTTACTGCTGCAGTAAGCTGTCACAGTTACCACACTCACTCACTAAAGTCAGCCTAGATCGCACTGAGCCAGTAGGTCCCCGTGGTACAACACTCAGGATGTAGCAGCAGACATGCAGGATACTGACCAGTGTCACACTGCTGTGGCCCTGTGACCCCAAACTGGCGCATCTCCACTTCCAACATTTCCAGGAAAAAAAATTTGTGTTTATATTTGGAGAAGAAGATATAGAAGGAAGAATGTGATTTTAATGTCTTATTCTATATGTTTGGTATTGAGTCTTCCTTTTTTTTTTATTTTTGGTGGTTCTGGGGAGTATTGAGTCTTTTATAGTCAGAATCTATCCTAGCATTAGTTGGGTAATTTTTTTCCACATGCTGGGGATTCACTATGTAATGAACTATACCCAAGCCCTTTTTTAAATTTTTCAAGACCAGGAATGGCTAAATTACCCAGACTGGGCTCAAATTTGTGATCTTCTTGCCTCAGCCCTCTGAAATGCTGAGATTATGAGACTAACCTATTATCCCCAGCTGTTTAGCAATGTCTTATAAAAGATTTTAAAGAATCTTAGGAATCACATAACAAAGCCGTTGGAAAAAAAAAAAAAAAGAATCTTAGGAGTATTGGGCATGTTGGCGCATGCCTGTGATCCTAGCACTTGGGAGACTGAGGCAGGATTGTCCTCAAGCCTGGACTACAAAGCAAGACCTGTCTCAAAAAAAAAAAAAAAAAGGAAGTTGATTAAAGAAAAGATTATTAAAGAAGTTTAAACTTCTGTTATCTTTCATTTAAAAAATTTAATTAATGGGGTTTAGCTCAGTAGCACAAGTGCCTGCTTGGCAAATGTGAGGTCCTGAGTTCGACCCCCAGTATAAAAAATAATATATTTATTTTTCAGGACCTGCAGTTGAGCACAGGGCCTTGAACACACTAGGCAGGCACTCTGAGCTACCCTCCAGCCCAAATTTCCATTTCTATACTCATCCACTCCTACACCTTGTTGCTTCTTTTGGGTTTAGGAAATGCTGTTTTTTCAGTTTTTTGGGGTTTTGCATCTTTCTTCTGTTGGCATCCACAGGTGACATTGCATTCCGGTTCCTTAATTACATTCAGGCACAGCATCAGAGAAAGCAGAAGAGGCAGTTAAGGGCCCAACAAAATTTATCCTGGGACGAAATTGCCAAAAAGTATCAGGATGAAGAAGATCCCTTGGGTGGTTCCCATGTCATGATCTGTGACATCAACAGGGAGATGTTAAAGGTGGGACAGAAGAAAGCCTCTGACCAAGGACACAAGGCTGGTGAGTCCTGTGGGTAGACACAGAGGAAACACTTACATGTTTATAATATGAGGTACAGTACATAAAATGTTGAAATGCTTTATATTACAGCTTTTAGACATGTATAGCTAAAGGGAAAGTAAAGAGGGAAAGGGGAAGAAGTAAAAAGAATTAAAGTATGTATATATGCCAACTGCCTGCAATGGCTATAATCATTATGCACTGCAAACATGTACTAACAAAAATTTAAAAATTTTTTAAAAAGAAATTCATAGTTAAGCAGGAGTTGAAGATCATTTATATGGGTGAGTACTGCTTTGGTGTTTTCAGGATTTTTTTGTTCATTTGTTTGGTATTTGGTTTTTGGTTTCCTGAGACAGGGTCTCACTCCAGTTCAGGGTGGCCTTGAACTCACTGTGTAGACCAGACTGACCTTAAACTTGAGGCAGTCCTCAGCTTCCCAGGTATACACCACCATATCCAACTTATGTGCTATTACATACATTATTTCAGCAGCCTTTGAGCTAGAGGAATAGCCCACTGTGACTGAGAAGACACTCAAAACTCAAAGAGAGAGCCAGGATTTAGCTCAGTGGCATAACTGCCTGCCTGGCAAGCACAAGATCATGAGTTAGATCCCTGGTAGCAAAAAAACAAAACACAAAGAGGTTAAAGCTCTTACTGAAGTTATATATCTTCAAGCATCAGATCCCAAATTAGAGCTGAATCTTTGAATCTTAACTCTTGAACCCTGAGATGGAAGTTTGTTTTTGGAGGTATATTTTTATTTTAATGAGAATAAAACAAAACAAAACATAACAAAACAATGGGAATGATACTGGATTTCAACAGGACAGTAGGAAATCAACCATAGTTACTGTAATGCACATTGTTATCCTCTAAATAGATGCTCAGACCACCAGACATAGGCACGCAAAGTCAAACAACACAAGCACTAAGCTGTTTCTTTACTTCAGTTACTTACCATCATCTCAGAAATTTCAGGTACATGGCTTCTAATTTCTATGTCTACGTCTCCTAGACTTCTGGGTGGGCTCGAGGTCTGAGATTACACCTTGCTCCTTCATCTTGACATTTTCCTGTGTTTCTCCAAATCAGCTGGTTGCTGAATCCTGGGTGTTTCTTGCCATGGCTGCCTATCCTGTGGAGCAGGGGATTTGACTAGGCTCCTGGGTTCATCTCATCTGAGGTTCCTGGGATGGTAGAGAGGTGCAGGGCAGTTGCTGATCAATGTTGCCCTGATGGCAGGGGAACCCCGGGACATAGCTTCCTCCCCTCCTGGTGGAAAGTGGGCTCACCAGGCAGTGTGGTTGTGGGCTTATGGTGGGGAAATCTTTCTGATAAATTGACCATTACATTTCTAAAGTTCTGAAATAGCCAGCTGACCCCAGAAACATACCACTTTAGGTTTCTGCTTGAAACCAGCAACTTCAGAAAACTCCCGGCCTTAATTCAGGGCCATGAGATGGAAGTTACGCTTTAAATTCCCAGCACTTCTTGGATAACTGCAGCTCATGTCATTCCTATTCTTGTGCCATCCCACTCTCCTGTTCACTCTGGGCTGGCTGTACAGATCTGTAAAGTGTGGCCATAGGGCACACTTAGCAGCTTCCAACAGTTAGCATTTCAGTCTCTGCCTCAGCTTTGAAGCAAGGCCATGATCTCTCTTGGCAGCCTACAGATGATGACTTGAGCACCGTAAAGCTTCTAGGGCCTAGACATTTCGCAAGAAGGACTCTCTGTGTTTGCTTGTCATACTTGGAGTTGAACCCAGGGTGTTCACGCTGAGCTATAGCCTCAGTTCTATTTATTTATTTGTTTGTTTTATTTCAGAGATAGGGCTTTGCTAAGTCACTAAACTGCGCACGCTGGGCTTGAAGTTGTGATCCTCCTGCTTCAGTCTCCTATCAGCTGTGAGCTATCTATCATGTCTGGCTTCTAGGCAGGACTCTATTTTTTGTGGTACAGGAGATTAAACACTGAAACGTCACAAAGGGCTACATCTTCAGCCCATTCTATTTTGTTTCATTTTGTTTTGTTTTTTGAGATAGGGTTTTGCTGTGTAGTTCAGGTTGGCCTTTAACTCAAGATGGTCCTCCTGCCTCAGCTTTCCAGATGCTAGGATTATAGGCATGCGCAAACAAGTCCAGCTGTCTTCAATTTTGTCAAGTTGGTTGAAGACCCTGGAAACTGCACCTTGTTGACCAGCTCGCAGGGCTTCTGTGCTGCCCTCTTCTAAACTGGCTAGGTACTAAGACAGCCTTAAGGGGCTGGAGATTTAGCTCAGCGGCACAAGCACCTGTCTTGCAAGCAGGCAGTCGTGAGTTTGATCCCCTGTACCCATAAAAAGGAAAAAGACAAAAAAAAAAAAAAAAAAAGACAGCCTTAGTGAGGGACAAGGGTATGCAACAAAAAAAAGAAAGTCCTGGAGCCTGGGACATAGCTCAGCAGCACAGCACCTGCCTGGCAAGCATGAGGTCATAAGTTCAATTCCAGGTACCAAAAAACAAATTTATATATATATATATTAGCCAGACATGGTGGCACATGCCTATAATCCTAGCACTCGGGAAGCTGAGACAAGAGGATTGCTGCAAGTTTGAAATGAGCCTGGGCTATAAAGTGAGTTCAAGGCCAGTCCAAATTGCATAACAAAACCTTGTGTCAAAGAGACAGAAAGAAAAAAAGAAAGAAAAGCAAGTCTCTGAGATTGACATTTCTTTCCTCTCCCTACCCACTGTGAGTGCCTAGGGTTGTTTTAGCCCAATTCTTCCTCCTCCTCCTCCTCCTGCCCCCAGAAAGAGCTGCCTAGACGAACTGCAGCCCACTTGCTCTCCAGGATGAAGGATTCCTTTGTTAGCCATCAATACAAATCAGATGGCAGACAGTCATCAGTGCTTTTAGACAAAGCCACTGTGTTTCTTATTCCTACTGACAAATGTGTTTCCCTTTTCTCTGGTGCTCAGCCATAAAGAACAGAGAACACATGTTGAAATGATAGATAAAATTCCATTTCTGGAATCATATCTTCCATTACAAAGCTCTCCTTCAGACTTTCCTAAAATTGTCAAGGCTGGCTGGCTGGCTTGCTTGCTTGCTTGCTTTCTTTCTTTGTTTTTGGTACTGAGAATTGAACTCAGGTCCTTGTGCTTGCCAGGCAGGTGCTGTGCTGCTGAGCTACATCTCTGGCCCTGTCAAGGCATTATGAAGCACTGCATACTGTAGTACAAATACAGTTTTCTTTCCTTTTTGCTTTATCCCTCCTTAGTAATGCCTTTGCAAAATTTACAAGTCAAAGCTGAGTGTGGTGGTGCATACCTGAAATCCCCGTCCTTTATATAGGAGGCTGAAGCAGGAAGATCACAAGTTTAAGCTCAGCCTGAGCAACTTAGCAACTTAATAAGACCCTGACTGAGAGCTGGGAATGTAGCTCAGTGAGAAGGCCCTGGGTTCAATCCCTAATACTGTAAGCAGATGAAAGCAAGTTGAAATTTAAGAGGATGGCTTGGTTTTTTGCTGCTTGGGATGAAACCCAGAGCCTTACACATCCTAGGCAAGCACTGTACCACTGAGCCAGCCCTGATTTGTATTTTATCATACTATTTTCTGTCTATGGCTTTTAATTAACATCTAGATAGTTAACATATCTTCTATAATCATAATATAGAAATCTCTATGAACAAAAGCCAACAAATTTTCTGGTGAAGAGTGCTACAAATGAAGTCATCCAGAATTTTAGATACAGCATCTGCACAACCAGGGCAGTATCAGTGACTACAAATAACCACAGCCAATGCAGTCCTTGGTTTCTTCTTTTAGTGCCTGATTAACCATCTGGTGCTGCTGGACAGTTCTCTTTAAATTCTTCTTATTCGATTTTAATTTTATTCATGGCTCTGCAGCCTCCTGAAATGTCAGTGACCTTGATAGCCATAGCTAGAGAAAGCTTTTCTCTGAAATCCTGAGTCACTTTGAGCTCCCTCGACATCTGGGAAATGAATGGAGGTGATGGACATAGTAGCAAAGAGGAAGGCCTCAGTTCCAGCAGAACAGAAGCAACCTTGTACCCTTGCACCCACGCTATGCACTGCCTGCCTGACCAGTGTACCCCACAGCCTGAGGTTGCCATTTTTTTTGTTTGTTTGTTTTCTTTGAGACAGGATCTGCTTTTCTGGTTTAGGCTGGACTTGATCAAAGTACATAGGCTAGGCTGGCCTTGAACTTGCTTATGTAGCCCAGGCTGGCCTCAAACTCACAGAGATCCTTCTGCCTTAACTTCCCAAGTGCTGGGACCACAGGCATGTGCCACTACACCTGGCACTAGTTTGTATTTTGAGAGATTATTTTTATTTGCCTTTCACTAAAAACCATTCTCTGACCACCTCTTACAGAGAAATTAACTTTGACATGCCCAATCTTCTTTCTTGCTTCATTTCTGCTTTCATTAGCCTTTATCCATTTATAAACCCAACCTTCTAGGCTGGGGATGTAGCTCAATGGTAGAGCACTTGCCTACTATTCATAAGATCCTGGATTCCATTGCCAACAGCCTTAAAAAAGGGGCGGGGGAGAAAGAAAGAAGAACTTCCTATGCTTGGTCTATCAAAACACCTATTTTGCCAAGAATGGTGGCCCATGGGTATAATTGCAGTGCTCTGAGAGGCTGAGGCAGGAGTATCTCAAGTTTGACCCAGCCTGGGCAACTTAGTGATTTAGCCAGAACTTGTTTCCAAATTTAAAAATAAGAATTTTTAAAAAGGCATGGGATCTGAGTGTGGTGACTGTAATCCCAGCCATTGGAAGGCTGAATGAAGCAGGATTGTTACGAGTTGGAGGCCAGCCTGGGCAGCTACATAGTGAATTCAACAACAGCCTGAATTATAAAGCAAGACCCTGTTTAAAAAAAAAAAAAAAAAAAAAAAAAAAGATCTGGGTGTGTGTCTCAGTACAGGCCGTGGGATCAATCTACAGTATCATGAGAAATAAAATAAAATAAAATACAAAATTAGTATAACAGGCAGTGCAACCACAAGACCTGTATTCTTAATTACAACGCTCCACACAAAACACTTAGTTAGATTAAAAAAAAAGTCATGCTTGGAGATGGGACTGGTTATATAGCTTAGTGGTAAAGTACCTGCCTACCATGCCTAAGACACTGGATTTGAACCTCAGGATCCAAATAAAAATTGCAACCAGGCATAGTAGTGCACACCTGTAATTCTAGCACTTGGGAGGCTGAAGCATGAGGATCATTTTGAGTTCAAGACCAACTGAGCTACGGAGTGAGTTCAAGACCAGCCTGAGCCTCAAAGTGAGCTCAAAGCCAGCCTGAACTGCATAGTGAGACTCTGTCTCAAAAAGAGACAAAAAGTAAAAATTTTTTAAAAAGTTGCATAAGGGTGAGATTGTACTGTGAGATTGGAAGAAAGGCTGAGAAGGATAAACTTCAAGGATACTAGGTTCAGGCTCTCAGGATTAGAGGATACTATGAAGATAGTCACCAGCAAGTGAGTAGAAAAGGCAGGTGTATGTTTTCTGGCACCAAATAGGTGTCACAACAAAAAGCAATTTTTCAACAGCAGGTTGGTGCTTATCTGCTCACTTCATTTCTGACACTATTCAGATTTTATAACACCTTCGACAGGTTTAAGGGTTCAGTCCTACAAAACTGCTTCCACTTCAGATGCCAGCCATAAATTGGGGGCTGTGGCTACTGACATTTCTGCCTGCCCAACTACAAATTCTTTTTTGTTCAGTAATCTGCTGGGTGTAGTCAGGAAGGATGGCACACACCTGTAATTTGAGCACTTGCGACTCAGGGAACTGAAACAGGAGGATCTCTTAGTGCAAAGCCACTTGGGTTACAATACTGAGTTCAAGATCAACCTAAATTACCTAGTGAAACGCTGCTTCAATAATAATAATAATAATAATAATAATAGAATAGCTAGAACAGAAATAATAGTAGTGTTAGTAGCAAGAGTAATAATAATAATTTGCTGCATGTGGGGAAGATAGTTACCTAAACTGAAACTCAAAACTGATTTCTCTTTCAGGACTTACATGGGTGCTGGGAGATGCTGAAGAACTACCCTTTGATGATCATAAGTTTGATATTTACACCATTGCCTTCGGGATCCGAAATGTCATACACATTGATCAGGTATGAGTGGGTACATCCTCAGTCTGTATGACTTTCAGGACACCAGTTCTCTTGGAGTTGGTCCAGAGCAAATGGGGAGAGGAGGGATTCTTTCCTGAGCCCGGCACTTAGTAGGTTGACTATTTTAAGCTTGCGGGCTTCTTTTAAATTGCCAGTTTTCTTAGTTACAAAACTGAAAAGGACCAAAATCACAGAGCAGCTCCCAATGGAAGTCCTGGTTGCCTGGTTGGCATTTACATATTTGGGATGACTAGTCTTGTCTTGACATTTCATCTGCTTTTTCTCACTTGGAAAGCTATCAGTTTACAGATCAAAGGTTAGAGACTGACACAGAAAAAGCCACTCACATGCTATTTTGGCAGAAGATAGATCATGGTTCATCCGATTCATCTACAAAAAGAAGAGAATGTTTATTTTTTTAAATCTTGCTCAGCTTGGGCTGAGGATTTAGCTCAGGGGCATTAAGTGCCTGCTTGGCAAACATGAGGTCATGAGTTCCATCCCCGGTACCAAAAAACAAAGAAACAACAAAAATCTTGCTCAGCTTTTTTCTTTTTTGTACTAGGAATTGAACTCAGGACCTTTTGCTTGTCAGGCAGGTACTTATGCTGCTGAGCTATATCCCTGGCCTTTTTTTGGTACCAGGGATCGAACTCACAACCTTGCACTTGCAAGGCAGGTGCTTATGCCAATGAGCCAAATCCCCAACCCTGCTGGCCTTTTTTGGGGGGTTGAGGGGTGGCTTTTTGATTCAGTTCTTCTTTATTTCTACATTACCATTCTGTTCAAAAATTCGAAAATTAAGCTGAGCATGGTGATAACTGCCTCTGATCCCAGCATTTGGGAGATTAAGGCAGGATCACTGTGAGCTCAGAGCCAACGTGGGCAGCATAGTGAGTTCAAAGCCAGCATAGACTACATAGCAAAATGCTGTCTCAGTAAAACAACAAAAAAATTTGAAAATTATATGCAAGGCAACAGATTTTACATCTGTAACGTGGTCTCCAATTGTCTGGCTTTTCTGCTTTGGGTGGAACATTCTTTAAGGTGCTTGCTATAGCAATATAATATAAATTATGTAAATGTTATGTAATACATGTTAAATATATTATTTAACAAACTCTCATCAACAGTTAAAGATTCCTCTAATCTTGTGCTTTCAAATACTAATTATCCATATATGTGCCACTTCCACAGTAGAAGCATTTCCATAAAATAGAATCTTTAGTCAGGCACTGGCTGAGTCAGGCCCATGCCTGTAAATCCTAGTACTCAGGAGGCTAAGGGTAAAAGGATCACTGTGAGTTCAAGGCCAGCCTGGGTTACATAGTGAAACCTTGTCTCAATCCCTGCCCGAATAGTTATGGGCTACAGAATGCCTATAACATTTATATAAGCTTATTTCTGCTGTGACAGCTTCCCAACTGAGATTAAACAAGGAATTTGTGCGAAATCATGTTTACAATGCCACTGTAGCTAATGCTGTCTCAACCTTGTGGAACTGCGTGAGGTCTGCTGAGGAATGTTTCCTGATATCCTTGTCTCTTTCAGGCACTCCAAGAAGCTCATCGGGTCTTGAAGCCAGGAGGACGGTTTTTGTGCCTGGAGTTTAGCCGAGTAAACAATCCCCTCATATCCAGGTTGGCATTGATGATGAGGCTATATCTTCACTAACTAGCGATGTGAGTCAGTTCAGCGTCACTGAGGCCTTGAAGGACATTGCTTCCCAAAGAGGTCAGTTAGTTCTGAATGACAGTACTTAGGCTAGAAGTAATCAGTAATCAGAGGTCCAATTCAACAACATTGTGTATTTTATTTACTCATACAGTATTTTTTTTTTTGGTCTTTTTTGTTTTTATCGGTAGCAGGGATCAAACTCACGACTGCCTGCTTGCAAGGCAGGCACTCACCCCAGCCCCTTCTCATACAGTATTTTAAGAAACCAACTTAAAAGGGCCCGAGGGTTTAGCTCCGCAGCACAAGTGCCTGCCTGGCAAACATGAGGTCATGAGTTTGATCCCCTTTACCACAAAAAAAAAAAAAAAACAATTTAAAGGATCAAGGACATAGCTCAGGGGTAGAGTGCTTGCCTACCTTGCACTTGTTCATTCCCCACTAAGGAAGGGAGAAAGAGGAGAGACCGGAATAAAGGAATGGAAAAGAAATTGATTTTTTTCTTTTTTTAATGGTAGCAAGGTTTTACCAAAGGTAGGAAAAGAAACCGGCTCTATAGAGCAATTTTGGGTCAAATAAAAGGAAAAGATATATACCATACAGCATGAGGGCAGGCCACCATGCAAGAGAGAATACAGTGGCCAAAGGCATTGATTCAAAATCAGAAAATTTTATGTAAAATCTGGATTTCCAGCCAGGTATGGTGATGGATGCCTATAATCCCAGCACTCAGGAGACTGAGGCAGGAAGAGTGCCACAAGTTCAAGTCCAGCCTGAATTACAGAGCAAGATCCTGTGGTAAAAACAAACAAGGGGTCCAGGATATGGTTTAGGCATAAGCACCTACCTGGCAAATGCAAGGTCCTGAGTTCGGTTCCCAAAAACAAACAAAAAATTAAATAAAATAAAATCTGGATATCCAGCTTAATTTGAGAAGTCAGATACATAGCAATGCTGAGTAGGCCCATATTCTCATGTGCAGTTGTCAGAGTCAAGTAGTAGCTGCCTGTTCTTTATTTTTCTGGTACTTCCTAACAGTACTCGTCACCAGCCATCTTGGTTTTACAACTAGCTGCTTCCCTTACTCCAGATAGTTGCTTGACTCCTTACAGGCATTTGTTTGTGACTCTGAGCTTAGACTAGCCTTGAACTCATGACAGTCTTCCTGCCTCAGCCTCAACATCCTGGGTGCTAGGATTACAGGCATGCACCACCATGCCCAGCTCTCTTGCTTCATGTTGAGGAAAGAGTTTAGAGGGTTTTTGTTTTTTGTTTTTTTTTTTTTGTCTTTTTCCTTTTTACCAGTACCAGGGATCGAACTCACGACTGCCTACTTGCAAGGCAGGTGCTTATGCCGCTGAGCTAAATCCCTAGCCCCTAATTTTAGAGTTTTTTGTTTGTTTGTTTTTCTTTTTAGGGAATGAACTCAGAGCATGTTCTAATCTTAATCTTTTGCCTTTCTTGTTGTTTGCTTAGGCTTTATGATCTATATAGCTTCCAGGTCATTCCTGTCCTAGGAGAGGTCATTGCAGGAGACTGGAAGTCCTATCAATACCTTGTAGAGAGTATCCGGAAGTTCCCATCTCAGGTACAGTATTTCTATAGCTTGACAGAGACCTTAAAGTTGAAATCCAGATAATCCTTATTGTGTCTTTCATTGTGTTTTAGGAAGAGTTCAAGGAGATGATAGAAGATGCAGGTTTTCAGAAGGTGACTTATGAAAGTCTTACTTCAGGCATTGTGGCCATTCATTCAGGCTTCAAACTTTAGCTCCTTTTCCTATCCTGGAGAGAGATCCAGTAATACACTGTTGACATCCTGGAACCCAAGGATAACCTGGCTGATGAGACAGCAGCTCCTATTAAGGATATGAACCATGGGCTCATGTTCTGAAGCACCCAAAGGGGAAGAAACACATCTATGTCTTTTTTTTTTTAAATAACTTTCATTAGAAGCTGCTTAGATCTTTTCTCAGAGGTATTTGGTCTGTTATTTTGTTTTTCTTCAACTCCTTTGGCTATGCACTTTGGGGTTGGGTGAGAGCAGTACTAAGCCCTAACACACAGTTTCCAAGTACAGTATATTTTTGCTAATGGCGCTGCCTTCCAGAGGGGTAATGGATCATTTGAACCCAGTGATGACTTACTGTGTTTGAGTCAAACTTTCACCATGCTCTAGGACCTGAAAACCAAGGTCTAAGTCAGAGGGCTAACAACACTAGAATTATGGGCCAGGGTATAGCTCAGAGCGTGTGCTTAGAATACAAGAGATCCTGGGTTTAATCTTCAGCATGCACACACATCCTGGAAGTGTATGGTGGATCAGTAAATGAATTTACAAATTGGATAGTATTTGTCAATGTTTGCTTGCTTGCTTTTTCTTTTTTTGTACCAGGAATCGAACTCATGACCTCACGCTTACCAGGCAGGCACTGTGCCGCTGAGTTGTGTTCCCGGCCCAATCATTGCTTTCTTACATGGATTAAAGGAAAAAAAATTTTTTTCATGGTGCTGTAACTCAAACCCAGCTCCTCTCTTTAGCCCTGTACCACTCACGAACTACATCCCTAGCCTGAAAGTACATTATTTCATCATGCTTTTAGTGCTCTTTGATCAAATTCAGTATTTTCTCTTCACTGGCAGTCATAAAAACACTCTACTAAATCCTTGTTTATAAAATACAGGCAAACTCCTGCTTTCATACCAAGAAAGAAATAAAGAGCGGAGGCAGGAGAAAAGAAAGAGAACTATTTATATAACTGAATTCTTCCAGCAATCAGGAATGAATCTGAGGGAGCTCATTGTCTTTTGTTTGTTTGTTTTGTGATACTGGGTATTGATCCCAGAACCTTTGCACTGAGCTCTATCCCCAGCTCTTTATTTTTGAGATAGGGTCTTGCAAAATCTCTTAAGTTACCCAGGTTTATCTCAAATTTGATGATCCTCATGCCTCTGCCTCCCAGAGACCCTGAATTATAGGTGTGCACCACTACACATGGCTTTTCTCTCACTTTTTTTTGTAGAGACAATCTTACTACGTTGCCCAGGCTAAAAAATAAAAAATAAATCGCCCAGGGTGGGCTCAAACTTGGAATCCTCCTGCCTCAGCGCCCTGTTACAATCCACTGTTTGATGTTAAAGGAGGCTATATGCCAGGCATAATGACAGACACCTGTAAATTCCAGCATTTGGGAGGCTGAGGCAGGAAGATCATTGCAAGTCTGAGGCCAGTCTAAAATATACAGTGAGACTGTGTCTCAAACAAAAACAAAAATAACTGTAGTTTTTGAATATGAAACTTAATGGACCTTGCTAAAAAATCAGTGTGTGTTAGGGCTGGGGATTTAGCTCAGCGGCATAAGCGCCTGCCCTGTAAGCAGGCAGTCGTGAGTTCGATCCCTGGTACCTATAAAAACGAAAAAGACCAAAAAAAAAAAAAAAAACCAAAAAAAACCAGTATGTGATTTGGCTAGCAGTTTAATTGTGGATAACTTAGCTCAAGGATTTTTAAAAGGGATTCAGAAAGAAAAAAAAAAAAAAGATTCAGATATGCTGATTACTGGCCCAGCACAGAAAGGATCATTTATGTATCTTTATTAGATCTTATCACTGAATAGTTTCCAGATATAGCTAGCTGTATACAACAGTCTCATAAACAGTTTAAGGGCATTTGAGAATAGAAAAACTTTTAGATTACATTTTGTTTTCAACCAGCTGGAGCCTGTTGGCTTTTGAAGCTAATAGGAAAGAACAGACACTGGAAGGAATTTCATAAGCCATCAACAAAGTCTTATCACCATAGCAATGTGGTTTTCTCACATCTGAATCAAAAAATTAAAGTTACAAGCTGTCAACTTCCTAACAGTAGATATGGATCAAATCAAATCAGATTAGTACCTCTAATGTTCAGCTGTAATGTCTTGAATCACCTTTGGGTCTCTTGCTGGAAAAGATCATCAGTTTGGAACAGGGCTAACTGGAAAAGAGAGAGCTTTGGTGGCCAAATTCCTCTTTGGGCTTTTTACATAAATACAAATCTAAACCACCTCAGTGGCATCATTTTTGCAGAAATAATGAGAAAAAAACCTGTTGGACTAAGGATGTGGTGGCACATGTTTGTAATTCCAACACTCAGGACACTGAGCTACGAGGATCACCATGAGTTCAAGTTCGGCATGAACTACATAACAAGACCTTTTGTTTTTTTAAGCCCTATTGTTTTAACTGCCACAAAATAAATTTTTAGCTAAGTGTGATGGTTCACACCTGTAATCCCAGCACTCTTTGGGAGGCTGAGGCCGGAGGATTATTGTGAGCTTCAAGGCCAGCATAAACTTTTTGAGACTGTCTTAAAAAAACAAATAAATAAATAAATTTGTACTCCTACCTTGAAACTCTCCCAGTTCTGATGTAGTACTTCTCTAATATAGCCCAAGTTCCAGGCCGGCTATCATGGCACACACCTATAATTGCACCACTTGGGAGGCTGAGGTACAAGGATGGCCATTGAAGATCAGCTCGGGCTACACAGTAAGTTCAAGGCTTGACTAATGTCGAGACCCTGTCTCTAAATAAAATCCTCAATTTCTGGTAAAGAAACAAATTTTCAGGTATGTTCTTATCCTGACCTTACTGCTAATGCTCATCAGTGCAAATCCTTACCTCTTGTGCAGCAATAGCCAGGCTACTGAGAAATCTCCATCTAAAACAAAAAGCTTTACCTCATGTGACAATAATGTAGAGAAACTGGGCCTGGGGATTTAGCTTAGCAGCATAAGCACCTGCCTTGCAAGCAGGCGGTCGTGATTTCGATCCCTAGTGCCGATAAAAAAAATAATAATAATAATGTAGAGAAACTAAGGTTCTTGGATTTTCCTAAGATAAACAGGTTACGTGAGCGAGCCTGTGGCATGTATTTTTTGTCTACAAAAACTAAGCCTCAACCAGGTACAATGGCATGAGTTGTATATACCTACCTATATGCCAGCTACTAAGGAGGCCAGCCTGGGTAACTTAGGAAGACCAGTTCAAAACAAGTTTATTTTTAAAAGGCTGGGAACTGGGCATAGTGGTACATACCTGTAATCCCAACACTTAGGAGGCTGAGGCAAAAGGACCTGCACAAGTTCAAGGCCAGTCGAAACTACATAGCAATCCTGTCTGAAAAACCAAAATAATAAAAGATTGGGGATGTAGCTTAATGGTAGAACTCATGAGCCCCTTCACTCAATCCCCAGTACTGAAGAAAAAACCCCAATAATTTAAGTAATCTCATTCTTGCTTTTGTTCCTAAAACTACGTTTGTTTTGTTTTATTTACCAGGGATCTAACTCACAACCTCATACTTACCAGGCAGGCGTGTACGCCGCTGAGCTAAATCTCTAGCCCCTAAAACTGTAGTCTTGATAGCAGGAAACCTTTGATGGTTAATTTATTTTGGTCCTCCATGAAAAAGCTTCAATTCACACTTTGTAAACTTTGAATTTGGGAGACATTATGTAAATGTGGAGATATGCCCCTCAGATTTTTATTTTCCTTGTTTAAATCACTCCAAGCCAGGATAGGTGGCACACAGCTATAAATCGAGTACTCCAGGATCTCATTTGCATCTAGCCTGGGCAAGTTAGTGATGTAGTGAGACCGGCTCAAAAAAAAAGACCTAGGATGTTCCTCAGTGGTTAAGACCCTGGGTTCAGTGCTCAGTATGGCAAAAAATAAAAACCCCTTTCATCTTTTTTAAAGATGGTCTTGTTATGTAGTTCAGGCTAACTTCAAATTTAAAATGTTCCTTCTGCTTTAGCCTGTCAAGTGCTGAAGTACAGACACATGTTTGTTAGGTTGACATGTTTTGCTGGCAAGGTGAGATGTAAGACTATAGTACCAAAATGGCCATTGCCACAGAAAGCAACTGAGAATTTATCCCCACCAACCTGCTTACATGATGAACTCATAGAACACCTCCTACTCTGTAATTTGAAAAAATTATAGTCCACACATACACATTGCCAACAGATTTATTTTTTAAAGGAATGGATTAAAAGAAAAAACACATGGGGCACAGAAGTATGGAATAGAAAATAAATACAAATGTAGGCTGCTTTGCTAACTGTTTTATAACCACAACAAACTAGTACAGAGAATGCCCTGTACACAACACAAAATAGGTTCAAAGATTGAGGTGTTCCCTTAGCAAGGCTGAAGATTTTCAGTCTCTGTATTTGGAATTTATGCTGCAGTCCTTGGTTTTGGATGGATCACTGGGTGTGTGGCACAGTCCATGCTTTTAACCAGATTTGAACAGAAGAATGGCCACCTGGCCCAAGTAGAAGTAGATGAAGTGTTTGGTTTCGTGTGTCACATAACTACCGAAGTTCCTCCCCACAATGCAGTGCCAAGTGGGGTTGTACTTCTTGTCAAACTCCTGGGAAAGAAGAGAAAACTAGATTTTAGTGCTTAAGTTAGGAGACTTCACTTTCTGGATTAAGCCAGAACACTAACAGGAGGAACAGAGGAACACTGGCATCTGCAAATTCTTTGAATGAAAGAATGTTCTCCAGCTCAAAGTCTCCCACCACACAGTACACTGATGCAAATATATTGGCAGTCTGCTAAGATGAGAACGGGGGCTGAAGAGGGAGGTCAGCCTTCAAAGACATGGTGCTTTGTTAGAATGGTAATTTCACCTTCCTGCTTTCTGTATCTTAATTCACTGATTGTAGATGACATCAAAAGTTGTCGTTTATTATCTTCTGGGTAAGTAGAACCAAACAATCCTCCTACATTTACCATGCACCCAAACACTAAGACAATGTAAAACTTAGTCCATGCCTCATCCTGAAGAATTTAACTGCACTCCTGTAAACATTTCCAAAAGGATAGCTTCAGCTGGGCATAGTGTACATGCTTGTAATCCCAAGCACTCTGGAAGGCTGCAAAAATGTAAGTTCAAACATTGTCAGGGCTAGACCCTGTTTCAAAATAAAAATCAGGCTAGGGCTGGGCTCCATGGTGCATGCCTGTAATCCCAGCACTGGAGAAGCTGAAGCAGGAGAAAGTGAGTTGCAGGTCACAAGTGAGTTCAAGAGCAGCTTGAACTGCACAGCAAAATCCTATCTCAAAAAGACAAAAGAAAAAAAAAAATAAATAAAGCGGCTTGAGGATGTAACACAGTGCAGCAATCCTGAGTTAAATTCCCAATACTGGGGAAGGGAAGGCCTTTAGCATCTAAACAATCAAAATTTAGATTTAGGCTGTAGGTAACAGCTTAATGCTCTGTAAAACAAAAAATTAGATTTAAGAGACAAGACACCTCCCTATACTGTTAAGTAGCAGAATCTGACAGCTAACTGGCCAAATTTTATCCCTAATTTAAACACCCCTTCTGTCCACACCAGTGGTGCTACCCTACTCAAAAGTCAGCAATTTTTAGGAATATCTCTTTCCTCTTTCTGCACCTCAGGGAACACTGGAACTCAAAGATCTGTGCTAGCGGGTCGGGGGTTTAGCTCTGCGGCACAAGGGCCAGCCTGGCTAGCACAAGGTTGAGTTTGATCCCCGGTCCCCAAAAGTCTTCCCTCGTGTACAACTGGCAGGGCTAAAGATTATCTCTCTAAAATTCTTACAATTCCTCGTGGTTAGTCACACAAAATTTGGCTACTCTTAGCTCCAATATTACATAGTGCAAAAACTTTTCCATCTATCAAAGAGTGTTCTTACAAGCTAGATGTACATACTGCTGCGTATGTATAGATTTGTCTCATCTTAAATGTTAACATTCTCCACTGTAACCCTCCCACGCCTTAGGCTGCCAGCTTCGTTTCCTTGAGAAGTTGGCTATTCAGTCAAGCATTCTACAAACTGCTATTTACCAAGCCCCCACCCCATCACCAACCACCACTACCCTTGACTTTCCCTTAACTACAGACCAGCTAGCTCCCCACCCGGAGGCTGGCGAGATTTCCCTCTGCGCCGGCTGGTAACTCCCACGCAGCTCCCCCCTCAGGAACACCCAGATGGATCTTCGTCGCAGGAATCCTACAGGAGGGGAAACTGCGCACAGCTCCCTGATCTTGGAAACCGTTGCTAGGTGGCGCTTTCCCCCGTGGAGCAGTGTAATTAACAAAAAAAAAAAAAAAAAAACTTCGGCCGCCAAGGGTCTGGTGTTCCCCAGAGGAGCGCAAATTTATTCGCGTCCTTTCTGGAAAGGTCTACGCCCCGTGCCGCCCTCGTGTCCCCAGAATCTCTGCTGTGCGCCTCCGAGATGCAGAACTGGGAGAAGGAATTAAGTTGTGGATTGTGCTGTCCTCACCTTCTTGATGTGGGCCGCAATGTCCTTTTCTATGTTATATTTCTCCAGCGCCTGAGTAGCGCACTCCACCGAATCCTGTTGCATCTCCTCTGACATGTCCGCATTTTTGATCACCGCCTTTCGGTCGCACATGGTCACCTAGGGGGCGAGGCCGAGCTATGGGTTAGGGGCTGGAGTGTGAGCCTCGCCTCCAAGACGCAGTCTCCCCACCCCTGGCCCAAGCCACCTTGGACGACGCCCCCACCCCCGCCTCTCAGGAAAACACAGGTCCTGCTGACAGTACAGTGGGAGAATTTCAGTGAACTGGGGCAAAGCCAGATAGGGAAGACCCCCAAGTCTCTCACCGTGGAGCAAGGGCTGGCTGACTGCAACGGTCTCCTACAGAAGGTGCAGGCACCCCTCGGAACGGAAAGGAGATGCGGTAACTATCGAAGCCGTGGCGCATCTAAGTAGCCACACGCCAGCCGCCGCCGCCTAGTGCTTAGGCCCCGCCCAGTGTCCTTAGGCCCCGCCCACGCAGCACGTTCCTATTGGCTTACCTCAGACATAAGGATCTTCCTATTGGTCCACGGACTCAATGGTTCCCTCAGGATTTTTCTCCTGCATTTTGTTGCAGACCACAATGCACTGCTCACGGCGTCGGTTGCCCTGGCAATGGGCTGCTAGAGGTGAGGCCCACAAGCGCAGAAGGTGGAGCCGGTGGTGGGTCACAAGGACCACTCAGCTGTCCAGAGAGGTGCGAGGGAGCTTCTGTCTAAGTTTAGGAAAGTGATTCCAAATCTCTTGAATTGACCCAGAGTGTGTTCTCAAACGGCAGTCTCTAGAAGTTGGGTGTCGACCCTTCCCTGTACGTACCTCCCACCCCAGGTCAGAAGTATTTCCAAGTTTTGACTGAAACTAGTCAATGAAAGATATTTCTGAAACGAAGGCAGCTCCTAGGGCAAGCCACTAGTGCAGTCAGTCGCACTAGAGGTGTCCTGGCCCAGTCTCTCTCTCTTCTCTTTTCTTCTTTTTCCCCTCCCCTCCCCTCGCCTCCCCTTATTCTCTCTCTCTCTCTCTCTCTCTCTCTCTCTCTCTCTCTAAGCTTGAGACAGGGTCTCCCTAGATTGCTCAGACTGGCCTCCAATTCGCGATTTTTCTGTCTCCATTTCCAGAGTAGCTAGCGTTACAGATGCGCCACAGGACACGAGCAGAAATTCATTTTTAAAACTAGGGGCTCCTAGCTGGTCCTCCTCCGAAATATTTGTGCGGGGTGGGCAACCTCAAGATTAAAGGCGAGTTTCAAGAAGGAAGGTTTTTCTTCTGAGTAGAGTTTTATCCCCAAGAATCAGCTCTGTCCGGCAAGACAGAACTTCTTTAAGGGGAAGTGGACGATTTGGAGGAATTTGGGACTGCTGAACCCCAGTTGTGAGTCCAGGGTGGGGCTCTCTTTTCTCAAGTGAGAGTCCTTCCCCTGTGGGAAATTTCTTGATTAGGTGGGGGGAGGGAAGCAAGCTATATTGCCCGGGTTTGTCTGCAGCTCCTGAGCTCTAATCCCGCTCAGCCTCCTCCACGTTTACAGGCGCGCCTAGGGAGGAGGTACCCTAATGGACAAGAAGGGGGTCCTGCAGGGGCTCGGCTGCATAGTGAGTTTAAAGCCTGACTGAACTACATAATGAGCCCCTGTGTTAAAAATTTAAGAAAAAAAAGGAAAGAAAATCTGAAATGTCGCCATTAGTTTAGAGAGACATCATTGCTATTTTTAAATGGTTAAGAAAAGAGCAAAGTCTTCAACTGGGAATTTAACTGTAGTAGAGCTCTTATCTACCGTGTATAGGCACTGGGTTAGATCCCAGCAACCCAAAAAACAAAACAAAGAAACAAACCATAGAAAAGCAAGATCTCAGGGTGAAAGTCAGATTTGGATTTAAATCCTAGGTTGTTTATTGTTTTTTTTTTTTTTAATTGAAAATCAGAGATCTTGCACTTGTCAGGCAGACGATTATGCCACTGAGCTATATCCCGGACCCAAATCCCAGCACTTTTGAACTTTAACTTTTTGGTTTTTGTTTTGTTCTGTTGTTGCTTGAATCTGTTGTTGCTTGAACCTTAGTTTTTTAAATTTTCTTTTGTTGTTTGTTTTCGCAGTACTGGGGACTGAACTTGGGGTGTGTTGACGTACATCCTCATTTATTTATTTATTTATTTAGACAGTGTCCTGAACTGTCCAGCCAGGACTCAAATTTGAATCTCCTAACTAATCGGTGTTACAGGCATGCACCATCATATCCAGCTAAACCTTAGTTTTTTTAATTTGTAAAGGGAGACTCAAGTGTAAAATGAAACCATTTCATAGGCATGTTAGAAGTATTAAATGAACTGAGCATACTTTTAAATTTTTAGTGCAACATATGGCACATAGTAAATGCTTAATGCATTTTTAAATACATGTACAACTTTTCATTTTTATCTCTTAGTCATTGCATTCCAAAGTCATTAGAAGGAGCTGGGGATATAACTCAGTGGTGCAGTACTGTCTGGGAAGCACTAGGTCCTAAGTTCAATTCCCCGTGCCCACCAAAGTCATTAGGAGATAGGTAAATATGCTGAATAAAATGTGCACAGCTTTTATAGCCCAGCCTCCACCTCCTTTCTTTCCCTAGAGGTGACAACATTTAAAGGTTTGCAATGTGTTCTCCAAGTTCCTTCCTTCATGACTATGTGTGTACTATGTATTCCTTTTTTTTTTTTTTTTAATTGGTACTGGAGATTGAACTCATGCTTGCCAGGCAGGTGCTTATGCCACTGAGCTAAGTCCCCAGCCCCTTTATTTTTATTAATCATGTATTTATTTTTATTAATTATGTATTTGTTTATAGTACGTGTTTGCAGCTTAAAATGATTATGCAATGGAGTACTATTGTGCCATAAAGAATAAACTTTAGATATTTGTAGGTAAATGGATGCCCCTTGAGGCCATATGTTAAGTGAAATAAATCAGACACAAGTTTAAATAGTGCCTGGCCTCTCTTATATGAGAAACCCAAAATATAAATAAAGAGCTAAAGAAACTATAGATAATAGCATTTTTTAAATGGGAAAGGGAGCCAAGCATGGAAGCTCATGCCTGGAATCCCAACACTCAGGAGGCTGAGGCAGGAGAATTCCTGCTGCAAGTTTGAGGCCAGCCTGAACTACACAGCAAGATCCTGCCTCAATAAAGAAAAAAAAAATTTTCTCATCTGGGCACGATGATAAGGCCAGTAATTCCACCTCTGAGGGGGACTGAGGCAGGAGAATATTGGAAGTTACAGTCCCATCTGGGAAACTTAGCAAAACTCTTATCTCAAAAAATAAAAAGCGCCAGGGGCCAGGTAGATAGCTTAGTGGCAGAGTATCACTGCATTCCATCTCTAGTGCCAAAAAAGACAGAAGTAGGGGAGAGAGTGTGTGATTGTCACAAGGACATGCTGTTAATAAGTGAACAAATTGGGCCTGTGAGATCTGAAAATTCATTCTCTGAACCTTTACTGAGGTACTACTTTCATACATTGAGCTGAGTAGACAGCTTGCCTTTTTCTTATTTATAACTGTGAAGAAAAGGAATCCAAAATGGCAATGTGTGTACCATTGTTGTCCCCTGACATGTTTGAAATTTTGTTTTAGTTTTTCCTTGTTTTTCCCTCTTTCTCCTTAAAATAAAATGGATTTAGGGGCTGGGGATTTAGCTCAGCGGCATAAGTGCCTGCCTTGCAAGCAGGTAGTCGTGAGTTTGATCCCTGGTACCAATAAAAAGAAAAAAGACAAAAAATAAATAAAATAAAATAAAATGGATTTGGAAAAAATGGAATTATGTGAAGGATTTCTTATAGATATTAGGATTTTGTTTAATAAATAAGCATTTATTAATCATAGAGTTTTCTCCATTTATAGCACCTGTCTTTCCCTGACATCTGTTTTGGTCAGCTTGCTCTTGGCTGAAGTGTTTCCTTGAAATGTAAAAGAAGGGTGCTAGCAGGAGCCAGTGCATTTCTGGCCTTTGTTTATCCCCCAAACACCCTTTATGTGGTACTGTGTCTCGGGACCAAGAGCTTTTCTACCTTCTCATCCCTTCAACACTCATTTCTGCAGAATCAATGCATTGTCTTCTGGGTGTTCCGCTTGTTGAGAAAGAAGTACTGTGTGTTTGCCAGGTTTTTGTCCCGCTGTTTGTTGTATGGTGCTGGGGAGTGAGCCCAGGACTTCATGCGTGCTAGGCAAGCACTCTACCATCAAGCTGCATCCCCCACTTCCTGTGAAACATTCGGATGCTTGAAATTTTTTATTTTATTATTTTTTTTGGTACAGGGATCGAACTCAGTACCTTGCACTTCCCAGGCAGGTGCTTATGCCACTGAGCTAAATCCCCAGCCCATACCTGAAATTTGTACCTAGAATCAGTTACAGTCCCACTTTCAAGGAACTTCTAGTCAACAATAAACTAATCTTTCTAGTACCATAGGTTTGGGTGTTTGGAAGGACTTCAGAAATAAAGGGAATGGCTGGTCTGGATACAGTGGTGTTTACAACTAACCAATAAGTTACAGATTTCCTTCTTTCTTTCTTTATTTTTCTTTTTTTTTTACAGGGGATCAAACTTACAGCCTCACACTTTCCAGGCAGGCACTTGTTGCTGCTGAGCTAAACAGATTTCTTTATTCCTTCTCCAGTCCTACTGTTTCATTTGACCAATCTTTAAAAAAAAAAAAACATGAAGCCGGGTATAATGGCACATACCTGTAATCCCAGCACTCAAAAGGCTTAGACAGGTGGATTGCTTTGAGTTTGAGGCCAGTCTGGGTTACATAGTGAGTTCAAGGCAAGTCTGAACTACACAGAAAGACCCTATCTCAAAAAAGAGAGAAAAGAAAGAAAGAGAGAAAAAGAAGGAAAGAAAGAAAGAAAGAAGGAAGGAAAGAAAGAAAGAAAGAAAGAAAGAAAGAAAGAAAGAAAGAAAGAAAGAAAGAAAAAACAGGTACACATCAGGTAGTAATAATAGATGTAAGCTGGTATGGTGGCATGGGCCTATAGAGTCAGCTACTTTGGAGGCTGAGACAGGAGAGTCATGAGTTTGAGGGCAGCCTGGGCACCTTAGAGAGACTCTGTCTCAAAAAACAAACAAACACACAAACATTACCTTATCATTGCTATACATGGAAATCCAGTTTCAATTGCCATGAACAGACAATAACTCTAAAATATGATTAAATGATGAAGTAGAAAAGATATTGTCCTCAGCTGGGCATGGTGTCTCACGCCTGTAATCCCAGCACTCGGGAGGCTGAGGTGGGAGGATCATTGTGAGTTCGAGACCAGTCTGGGCTATAAAGTGAGCTCAAGGCCAGCCTGAACTGCATAGCGAGACCCCATCTCAAAAAGGACAAAAAAAAAATTGTCCTCATCTTGAATATGTATCTCACACCTGGAAAACACTTGCATAGAAGGAGATTATTTGTATGTGTGCATGTTCACCTATGTGTGTGGTACTGGGCATTAAAGCCCAGGATGTAATTTCATTTGTTTTGTTTTGTTTTGGAGCTTAAACCCAAGGACACTCTACCACTAAGCTAATGTCCCTGAAGACTTAAGCAATCCTGGCCCTAAATATATGTCGGATAAATGAGAGGCTGAATGTGAGAAAGGATGGTTACTTTGTTTCTTTTTTTCCAATTTATGGTACTAGAAATTGAATTTTTTTTTTTTTTTTTTTTTTTTTTTTTTTGTACCAGGAATCAAACTCAGGACTAGGCAGGTGCTGTGCAGTTGAGCTACATCCCCGGCCCCTGGTAATTGAATTTAAGACCTTTGCATTGAGCTACATCCCCAGTCCTTTTCGTTTGTGTGTTTGTTTTTGTTTTTTAAATAGAGTCTTATGCAGTTCAGGCTGTACTTGAACTTACTATGTAGTACAGGACAGCCTCAAATTCACTGGGATCCTCCTGTCTCAGCTTCCTGAGTGCTGGGATTACAGGTGTGCACCATCATGCCAGCCCCAGCCCCAAGTTAATATCACTTCCTCAGCGCTGAATACTCTAAGTTGCCCCTGAATCAGTCTTTGACTCTTCTGATCTCCTACAGAAATGAATTCCTTTCTAGTTTAGCCATCAGACTCCCAAGGCTCCCAGAAAGCCCTACAGAGTTGCTGTTCACAAGCAGGCTGCTTGTAGGGCATGCAGCTTTCACTCCCCTAAACAGACTGAAAAGGCACTTGCCTGCCGCACCTCCATTCCCAGCCTTGTAAAGCAGTCACTTTTCAAGCTTTCTGGAGTTTTCACTCCTTTCTAAGACCGTGAGTTCTTGGCCAACCTAGCAGCTCCAGTCCTCCCAATCTGAAAGGAAGTATGAAGTGACCCTGTGGCTCCAGAGTTAATGTAGGGATCCTGCCCAGAGGACGGGCTTCATGGGAGAGAGTGCAGGGCCTACTTCTAAAGCCAGAAAGAAGACGCTTCCTCCATAAGGAGAAAGCTGGCGCTAGCTTGGGGCCAGCAGGAGAGCTGAGCTTTGGGGCCAAGGACTGTTCTGAAGTGTGGGAAGAAGTGGAGAGCAGGACCAGACAGACTGAGACAGCTCTGTGAAGAACCTGCCCTCTGATGATAACCAAGCCTTGCCTGAGTAGCCTGGCACTCTGCTGTCCATGGTGGCAGCTGATAAAGTCAGGCACCTCCAGAGAGTTTCCATAGAACCTTCTGCTCCTGGTCAGTGGACAGATCAACCCCAGAGCCAAGGAGAAACGAGCAAACTTTGAAACCTGACTTCCTTGGGTGTACATCCCAGCTCTCCCTCCTAAGTGATGTGACCTTAGCCAGGTGAGTCCCTGTTTCTGAGCACCAGTTTCCGCATCTATAAAAGGGGTGATGATGGCCCTTATTTCTCAAGGGCAATTTGGAGACTGAGATGGGTCATGTAACTGCCAATTGTCATCGGCATTAACCAGGATTTCATTTCTTTTTTCTCTTTCTTCCCATCTTCCCCTTCCTTCCTTCCTTCCTTCCTTTCTTCCTTCCTTCCTTCCTTCCTTCCTTTCTTCCTTCCTTCCTTCCTTCCTCCCTTTCTTCCTGCCTGCCTGCCTGCCTTCCTTTGTGTGCAGGGATGGGGGCAGAATTGAACCAGGGCCTCCTCACACATGCTAGGCAAGCTCTCTACCACTGAAATACATTCCCAGCCCTTTAAAAAATATTTTATATTTTTTTGTACTGAGAATTGAACTCAAGGCCTTTACACTGATCTAAATCTTCAGCCCTTTAAAAAAAATTTTTTTAAACAGCCCAGAAGGAAGCAATGTGAGCACAGAAATGGCGGTGGGCTGGTGGGAGACAAAGCACTGTTACTACTCCCTGGAAGCTGAAAAAGTCAGGAATGGATTCTCCCCTAGAGTTTTGTTTTGTTTGTGGGTGGTTGTTTTGGTGTCTTTGTTTGTTTTTGTCTTGTGGTACAAAGGGTCAAATCCAGAGCCTTTGTGCTGAGCTACATCCCCAGACATTTTTTGTTTTTTATTTTGAGACACAGTCATGCTAAATTACCCAGCCAGGACTCAAACCTGAGATACTCCTGCCTCAGCCTTCCAAGTACTGAGATTATAAACCTACATCACCACACACCCTGTTTCCCTAGAGCTTTTGGAGATAGCATGGTCCTGCTGACCATGCCTGTGCTATGCAGTGCAGGCTGATTGGGAACTCGCTTATGTAGCCCAGGCTGATCTTGAGCTCACGGTGATTCTCCAGCCTCAGCAGGAAGGTGTACTATTATTATTATTATTATTATTAGTCTCTTTGAGACAAGGTCTCTCCCTGAAGTTCAGGCTGGCCTTGAACTCACTTTGTAGCTCAGGATGGCCTCAAACTCAAAGTGATCTTCCTCCCTCAGCTTCCTGGGTGCTGGGATTACAGGCATGCATCGCCATGTCCAGCGCTCCAGGGTGTACTATTATCTTGGTTTTGCCTCTTTTACTGGCCCAAGCTTGTTCTGCAGAGCCAGTTTCTTCCCTCACTCTTCCCCTTTACTTTTTTGGGGGGGAGGGGGACCATGAATTGAACTCAGGACCTCATGCTTGCCAGGCAGGTGCTGTGCCACTGAGCTAAATCCCCAGCCCTTCCTTTTACTTTTTCAAATAAACTTTGTCACTGTTTTTTGCTGATTTCATTCAGTTCTTTGTATGAGGGGAGAAGAACCTGGAATCCAATTCCAAGAGGAGAGGTGAGCCACCTAGAACTCAGTAATGTTCATTTGGCAAGCCACTTTCAGAAGGAGCTACCTAATAATAGTTTCACATTACAAACAAAAACAAAAACTACCCCATCCACCAAGATTTTGTTCTTCTGTCTCCATCGGTTTTATCATGTTGTATCTTATTGGATTTTATTATATGTGATAGTATAAACAAAATTTTTATAGACAAAGAGATAATATAGTAACCACTGTTCATTTTCTGTTAGTTGGTTCTGAATACCCTGTAATATTTTCATCCTCTTGAATGGTTTTACACTATCTTGTTATGTTTGATACTATAGTACATAAAGGCATACTCAAATATTTCAAGGAAAGAGACACTATGGTAACTACTGTTATGTCGGCTTATCTTGTGGTGAAACATTATGTTGCTTAAATTGTTCTGTTCTGACCTGTGTTATGTCCTCTTTTATCTTTTTTTTTTTTTTTTTTTTTTTGTCTTTTTCCTTTTTATTGGTACTGGGGATCGAACTCACGACTGCCTACTTGCAAGGCAGGCGCTTATGCCGTTGAGCTAAATCCCCAGTCCCCTGTCCTCTTTTATCTTAATCTTTAAAAAAAAACATTTTTTCAGATTATAAAACTCTCAAAATAAAAGATAAAGCGGGACTGAGAGGTAGTTTAGAAGTACAGTTCCCCTCACACACCCTGTTTCTCCCCAGTCCAAGAAAAAAAGAGCAATCCACAAAGTTCCTTCTTCCTGGGACTCTTTCCACCAGGATACAAATAATAAATGAAAAAGTCACATCCTGATAAGTGCAACAGATAAAGCACAATAAAAGAATCAATGGCAACAGGCAAGAAGTCTTGTTTTTATTTATCTGCCTGTTTATTTTTATTTTTTGGTACCAGGAATCAAACTTATGACCTCACGCTTGCCCTGCAGGTGCTGTGCTGCTGAGCTGTATCCGTGGCCCACATCTTGTTTTAAATAGAATTTTCCAGAAGGCCTCTCTGAAAAGGTGCTGTTTGAGCCAAGGCCTCATGACCTGGGTCCTGGAGAAGCTAAAAAGAGAGAGAAGCTAATTAGAGGCGACTGTACCTGTCCAGGTTGGATTGGACCGGGATGGTAGTAACTGAAATGAAACAAGAGATGAAAGATTGTGAAGGTGAAGTGGGCAGACTTGCTGGTGAATTGCTGCAGAATACCAGAAAATGTGAGTAGTCAAATATGGCTCCAGACATTTGGCCTGAACAAGGAGAATAGATTGAGATGAGGAGGCTGGCAGAGGAAACAAAAGGTTTTATTTTGGCATTGAGATACCTCTTAGACATTCCAAGTAGAGGTGTCAAATGTGCAGTTGGATATATGAGTTCTGGGAAGAGGTCCAGGGTAGACCTATAATTTGGGGAGTCATCAGCTTGCAGATGACATTCAGAGCCGTGGGATAGGATGAGATCACACCACCAGGGGAGGAGTTACTGTAGACAGAGAGGTAATGCTTATTCAGCTTGCAACACTCTCTGAGCATTTTCTGTGAACCAGACCCTGAGTGAGGTGCAAAATGCATATGTACTCCGCTTAGTACCTGCCCCCAAAAAGCACCATTAGTTATTGAATTTTCCTGGCTAAATTCTTGGGCCATTTAGAGGATAAGCCTTGCTGGGCATGGTGGTACATATCTGTAATCACAGCACCCAGAAGGGTGAGACAGGAGGATTTCTGGGCGTTCAAGGCCAGCCTAGGCTAAGTAGCGCATTCAAGGCCAGCCTGGACTTTAGAGTGAGACCCTGTCTCAAAAAAAAAGTAGAAGATGGACCTTGAGCATTTGTACTCCATCCCTTAGTCACTTATTCATTTTTTGGTAATAGACAATTAGCAAACACCTACTTACAAGATCTCATCTAGGCACTTGGGACTTGTCAGACATGGTTCCTATCCTTGTGAGGAGGCATTTTGTGTGTGGAGGACAGACCCACTGAACACAGCATGTGGTTACCATGGGACCAAGGTGATGAAGTAGAGGACAGGATGGAGTGGCCTGTGCCAGCCCAAAGCGCAGGGAAGGCTCTTCTAGGAAGCCACGCTTGAGTAGCAATCAGAGTGGAGAACTAGGTCGAGGAGAAGGGCGGGGAGGTTAGGATGGGAGGATGACATGTTCCAAGGCCTGAAGCCGGAAGGAGGTGACAGCTGAAAAGGCTGCCTTGGCTACAGAGAAGCTGTGGGGCGAGTGTGGGAGAGAGGAGGCAGGAAGGGTGCAAATGGTGAACCTGGTCAGTGGACTCCACCTTAAGCCGCTGGTGGTCCTGGAAGGCTGTAAATGGGGCTCATCTAGAGGCCACTGAAGAGAGTGGGGCAGGAGGCCAGGAAGGCAGTCAGGAGGTAAGGCAGGAGGTTCCTGCTTCAGTGTCTCAACTCTTCCATTTCATGTTTTTTGGTTGCCATTTGTTTTGTTTGTTTGTTTGTTTGTTTGTTTTGAGGCAGGGTCTCGCTATGTAGTGGAGGCTGGCCTTGAACTTATTTATGTAGCCCAGGCTGGCCTCAAATTCCTCCTGACTCAGCTTCTGGAGTGCTAGGATTATAGGCATGCGCCACCATGCCCAGCCATTACTCCACTTTAAAGATCTGTTTGCAAAGCGCAGTGCTCTGCGGGTAGGGAAAGGGGATGCAGAACAGTTGTGCTCTCCCTGAACAAGCTGAGAGGCAAGTACTCCCACGTGTGTCCTCTGCAGATAACAAACCCGAGCTTCACACTGCATCTCAAATGTTTCTTCTAGGAGTTGCTTGCCTGCTACAAGTACCAAAGACGCAGGATCATTTTATTAGCAGGGGTGCTGGGTGGTTCTGGCCAGAGCCTCTGACCATGTTTCATTCCAGTTCATATGGATCGGCCTCTAGATTTCTGGGCCCTTTACCACCAGGCCATAATATAAAATACTATAACAGTGCAGCCAGGGGGCCATTCTCAGACTCGATGTCAGGATTACTCCACATATGAAGTATTCTTTTAACAGTAGCAAAGTTTTATTATAGATAGGAAAAGAAACAGGCTCTACAGAGTGAGTTTGTACTAACGAAAAATAGAAAAAGAAATAGAAGGTACAGCATGAGGGCAGGTCACTATGCAAGAGAGAACACAGTGGCCCATATGTGGAATATTTACAGAGATTTTAATCAATCAATTACAGGAATTTTTTCTGATACCATTTTTTATTAAAGATTACAAAAATAATAAATGCAAATACAGAAGAATGTAAAAATATAGACTTATGGAGATAACTACTACTAGTATTTTATATTAATTACATCTAAACTTTTTTCTACGCTTATGTGCATATGTGTGTATGTGTGTGTGTTACACACAGTGGTACCTGTGTGGTACTTCTGTTCAAGAATAATTTTATTGGAGCTGGGGATTTAGCTCAGCGGCATAAGCACCTTCCTTGTAAGTGTGTGGTCGTGAGTTCGATCCTTGGTACTGATAAAAACGAAAAAGACAAAAAAAAAAAAAGAATGATTTTATTTGTGAACAGTTTGGTTCACAAACAAAGAAAGTATTTGACAAAGTTTTGTTTTTGTTTGCAAACTCTACATAAGGTGACAAACATGACTGCAGCCATCTTTCCACACAAACACAAGCATGGTCAATTTTTCAAAATCTTGGAGCAAATTAGGTTCATGAACCCAGGTACCACTGTATACATCTGCATACACATACACAAGCATATATATCCATAGTCCTGTGACACCTAGCACACTGTACACACTGGATTTTTTCCTTACTGGGGATTTACCTCAGTAAGGAACTCCTCAAGGAGTTCCGAGGTATATCCCCATCTATCATCCCTTTTTATTTTCTCTTTTTTTTTTAGTTTGAGACAGGTTATGTACACTGGCCTCAAACTCATGATCCTCCTGCCTCATCTTCCTAAGAAGCTGGGATAACAGACATGCACCACCATACCTGGTTTGTTTATTTTTCCCTTCCTTTCATTGCTTCCTGAGACTGAATCCTGGGCTTGGCTCATACTAAGTACTGGCTTTGCCACTACTTTGCCCAGCCCCATACTAACTGATTTGTTATCTGCTTTCTAAAGTTCTTCATAAGCTTTCTACACTATAATTACTAACAACCCCCCCCCCCCAGGATGGAGTCTGTGTTGCCTAAGCTGACTTGGAGCTTGTGAGATCAAGCAGTTCTCCTGTGTCAGCTTCCCGCGTAGCTGAGACTGCAGACATATGCCAAGTCGTGCTTGCCAGGCAGGCACTGTGCTGCTAAGCTATATCCTCAGCCCTAGGTACTTCATTCTTTTAATGAATTTACATGTGTTCTCACCACCCTTTGTACCTGCCCACCCACATTCATATGCACCCTCTCCTCTAGGTCCTAGGCATAAACTGTACAGGCTCCTGTCTAAAGCCACGAGTGCTGAATCTATCTCCTGTCACTCACATTTGTCAATATCTGTCCTTCCTTTCCTGAATCATCTATTTTCCTGGCCTACTGAATTATTCCCTTTAGCACACAAACCTGCTGGAATATTGTGTATGACCAAAAAAAGGGTTTTGAAGCTGGGAGTGTTGGTACATGCCTATAGTCCCATCAGTGTGGGAGGCTGAGGCAGAAGGATAGCAAGTTGAAGTCCAGACAGGGTAACTTAGCAATACCCTGTCTCAAAATTTTAGAAAGGGATAGGAGATAGGGCTGGTTCAGACAGAAGGCCCTGGGTTAAATCCTCAGGTCTCCCCCTACCAACCCAGCCGCAAAAAAAATAAAAATAAAAATAAAACTGGGTGTGGCTCAGTGGCAGATTACTCAGATTACTTATCTAGTGTGCCCAAAGACCTAGGCTTGATCCCTAGCCCTGCCAAAAAAAAAAAAAAAAAAAAAAATATATATATATATATATATATATATATATATATATGCTTTCCTTCCCTCCACCATCGCTCTCTAGCTGCTACCTTAGTTCTGCTTTCTTCCACAAGTTGTTCATATTGTCTCGTATCAGTCTCCTAATGCAGTGCACCAAAACATACTGGCTGGCTCACGGTGCTCTTCACCGATGGACTTGGCACAACTCTGCTCTTCCTTTCTGAACGCACTGAGAGGACTCCAGTGGCTTTGAGTACCCGGTACTCACTGTGTTCCCCTCTCCCTGGATGTTCCTCAGTCTGCTGCTTTTTCCTGATCCCTCAAGGAAAGTGTGTCTAGAGCCTTCCCCCTGGGGCCACGTCTCTATTTAAACCCTTTCCTTTTGTGGTGCCCATTCTCCCAGCTTAGCTATCATATCTATGCACGCAACTCCTACATTTGTATTTCCACCTTGTACTTTGAATGCCCATCCCGTTTTTCTGAGTCCTATCTGAAAAACCCTGGGATGTCTAATTGTACCTAACACACCCTGGAGAGACCTGTTTCAGTGCTAAACCTGCCGATCTTGTAGTCTTTCTCATCTCTGTAAATAGCAACTTCATTCTTCCATGTACTCAGGAAAGAAATCTAGACATCTTTCTTGACTCTTGTATACACCCCTTATGTCTCACATCTGTTAAATAAAAATTATAGTAGGCTGACTGTTTTTGGGCTTAGCTTCTGTGCAATGCCCCAGATTAAAAATCAAAACATAGAGCTGGGGGCGGGAGTAGCTCAGTGGTAGAGCGCTTGCTTGCCTAGCGTGCATGAAATCCTGGGTTCTGTTCCCAGCAGTATGCAAAAAAGGAAAAAACCCACATTATGAAAAGTATCCTGGGGTGAGGCACTTGCCTGTAATTCTAGCACATGGGAGACAGAGGCAGGAGGATCACTCTGAGTTTTAGGTCAGCCTCGGCTACGAAGTGAACTCAAGGCCAGTCTGAACTATAAAGTGAAACTCTGTCTCAAAAAAGAAAGAAAGAAAAGTACCCTGAAGCAACATAACATCTATTGTTTTGTCTCCCTAACCTTTGCCTAACAAGGAAAGTATCTTTGAAATGACCATTCTTTGAAAAAAAATTATTAGTATATGTTTGTAGTATACAATGATTACGTTAATCATGAGAGTTGTCACATCTACATAACACATCTTCTCTTCCCACTTTGGTTTGTTTTGAGATAGGGTCTCACTGTGTCATTCAAGCTGGCCTCAAACTCACAGTGATTCTCCTGCCTCAGCCTCCTGAATTTTAGGATCACAGGTGTGTACTAGCACAATCGATGCATATAACACATCTTTTCTTTTTACTTCTCCTTTGCCTCTTGGTACCATACCCATCTCTTCATCTTTCTATTTTGCAAAAGATCTACCTCCTTGTTTCCTGGTACCTATTTTTTATTTTACTTTATTTATATTTTTTATCTTATCATATATATATATATATATATATATATATATATATATTTTTTTTTTTTTTTCTTTTTCTTTTGGTATGGGGAATCAAACTCAGGACTTTGTGCCTGCCAGGCAGGCACTGTGCTGCTGACCTATATCCCAGCTTCCTGATTTTCTCATATAATAGAAACCATGTAATATTTAAGCTTGCATGTCTCATCTATTTCACTTAACATTATTGTCTCAGTGAAATGACCACGCCTGTAATCCCAGAACTGGGGAGGCTGAGGTGGGAGGATTCTTGCAAGTTCAAGACCAGCCTGGGCTACAAAATGAGCTCAAGGCCAGCCTGAACTGCAATAGCGAGATCCTGTCTCAAAAAAGGCCAAAAAAAAAAAAAAAAAAATTAAACCAAACTGTAATTTTTTTCCTCTGACAAAATGAATAAATGGAAAATGATATCAAATTTCTGAATGAGAAGACCAAATATTGGAAAAATGAAACACTTTGCCATCTAAGTTTATAGATATAACACTTTTCAAAATACTAAAGAGGCTGCCATACAGAACCAGATAAGGTGATTCTAAAATGTGTCTAGAAACACTGATAAGACAATACGCCCTCCAAGGCTATTAGAGGAGCTTTGGGGGACAAGGTTTTTCAGAGGCACAAATTGGGAGGAAAGCTCTAGATTCTGTCACACTGATCTGTGTACCACCAAGTCAGTCATCTAAAGACAGGATAGCTTGGCCAGGCAGACTGGGGAGGCAGAGGTGGGAGAAACAGTTTCTAGGGACCTGGAAGAAGAAACATGCAGACTTCTAGTGCAGTGGGACCTAGAGAAGCAGGCTGAGGCGTGCAGGGTGGTGAAAAGCCACCAGAGGCAAACTGTGAAGGCCACGGATGTGTGGAGGTAGCTGTGGACCTCTCCAGAGAACACTCTGTCTCCTCCTCTGCTGAGTCCCTAGCATCTAGCACAACACACATGGGAGGAATTCCATGCATGTTTTAGAGGTCTTTTCATGTGTGGCCTTGGTCTTGAGGTCTGCATAATATTCAGAGGTAGAATGTGCATTGCACATTTAGTAAGCCACCCCCCACCATCTTCTGCAGTGCTGAAGATAGACTAGGGACTTGCAGATACTAACCAAGCACCAGACACTGAGCTCCATCCCCAGCTCAACCTGTCTCTACCAGTTGTTCGGAGGATCATTAATAAACATCCCAGTCTTCTGAATCCAGCTACCCCTGAGGCCCTTCCTCAGGCCAGGAGGGATCATTGGATTTTTTGTTCAGCACAATTCCGAGGTCCTTCTGGCTTCCAAACAAGCTCTCTTTTGCTATTCATAGCTTCCCTTTGGAGATTGTGAGACCACACTCCTCGCAGACTCCTCCCACTCCCTAGCCTGAGCTTTGAGTCCCCTTTACAATCATCCTATTCAGGGATATACAATAAACATTTGTATGGTAAAGGCAACTCATACTGATTTCTATTGAGCAGCTGAAATACTTGGGACTTACATGTATAATCTGACCCAGCTGGGCTCTGATCTATGTTAGGGCATCTCACCATAAATCCCTGGAGGCTGCAGAGTGAGAAAGAACCCACCACCCCCGCCTTATGCCCTAACCATGCTGAACTATGTGTGTACCTTCCTCAAAGCACCAAGCTCTCTCTGTCTTCTCAGCTTTCTTTGCATATGTTTTCCCTTCTGTCTGGAATGCTTTTCTCTCCTCATTTGTCTGCCTAATACCATCTGGTTCTTCAGGTCTCAGTTTAGAAGCTACCTCTTCCAGAAAGTCATCCCTGAGTCCTCCCTGGAGCCTGGGTTAAGATGCAGGAAGCCAGAAAGCCGGTACAACATCTGTAATACCTCCTACTTTGAAGGCTGAGGCAGGAGGATTGCAAATTCAAGGCCAGCCTGAGGAATTCATTAAGATCATTAAGATTCATTAAGATCATTTTAAAATTTAAAAATAACAATAAAAAGAACTGAGGATTAAACAAAAAGAACTGAGGATATAGCTCAGCAGTAGAATATGCTTGGGTTCCATCCCTGGTATCATCCTCCCCACAAAAAGCTACCAGATAGGGGCTGGGGATTTAGCTCAGCGGCATAAGCTCCTGCCTTGGAAGCAGGCAGTCATGAGTTTGATTCCCAGTACCGAAAAAGACCAAAAAAAAAAAGCTACCGGACATGGTTTGTAGCACATATTTCAAATTTTTTTTTTGAATTTTTCGTTTTTATCAGTACCAGGGATCGAACTCACGAGGCAGGCACTTATGCCGCTGAGCTAAACCCCCAGCCCCACATAGTCCAATTGTAATTGCCTTTTTTTTAGTTGTCTGTGATTGGGGTGAGGGCAATTTGCATATTAGTCATATTGTGGGGAATGAATCCAGGTGATTCACACTACCCCACATCCTTAGTCCTTTATTTTTTATTTTGGGACCAGATCTCACTAAATCGGTAAATTGCCCAGGCTGAGCTCCAACTTTCTCAATCCTCCTGCCTCACCTCACCTGGAATTTCAGGTGTGTGATACCATGCCTAGCTTCTTAGTCATGGCTGATCCTCAGCACTCGGCACCTAGCACAAAGCTAGGTAGTTTGGTGGCTCAGTAAACACCTGCGGAATGCACAAGGGTTAAGCAGCAAGAAATGCAGCAATCATCAAAGTCCCAGATGCCATGTTCACAACCCTGGGCTCTTGGAGGTCGCAGTATACTGTGAAAAAAATCTGCTCATTGTGGGGATCTTCAGGTGCACCCCAAACCTTGTGATCATGCTAACTGCAGCTGTCAGAGGTCAGGGCAGGCGTCTGGCTGGCTGAAGGAAGAAGATGGCTGGCGAAAGGCGTTTACTCTGAGGAGGAAATTAAGGTGGCAAAGAACACCATCGACCCTAAGAAGACATGCGCACTGCTGCTGCGGTTCTGTGCCACCAATAGCAGCAAACTAGCTCTGCCGCAGAAACATCTGGTCCACCCAGCTCCAAATCTCCGCCTGGATGGATGCAATCTTGAAAGAACTGACTAGTAAAGGAAGTCTACCCAGAAGCTGGAAAGAAAGGC